CCTTAAAATAAAAGGTTTGTTGTGTGATCCTAGTTGTAGCTTTTAACCGATTGACTAAACTACACAGATGGGTAGAGAGTGACGACTCTTAAAGATATATTAAAAGTCACCTATGAGTTAACTTACAATAATGAACAATGATGGTAAGATAAGATTGATGATCAACTGATTGGCAATTGGGGTTAAAATAAAGACTGATGACTAATTGGTCGATACCTATGATAGAATGATAAAACACTACATTCAAATTGGATGTCATGCCTTACTATTCATGTTGCATTCACATAATAGCTTATGAATTCATTGATAAAAAGAATTGATAGAACCTGCATTGATAAAACATAGCATATGACAGGTTCATTGATAAACATTGATAGGCTTATGAATACAATACATTGATAATTACATTGTCGTAGCATACTTACATAACACTTGGAGTGATAGTCTTTTTTTTCCCTATAGTTTGATATATCTCTTTTGAGTTTACTGATCATATTAATTTTATTATTGATTGGTTCGAATTTTATAGTACATAATATAATTACATCTAATATACTATCTTTTAATTGTTTTTTTTTTCTGTGTTGTTAAAAACTTAAAATTTTAATTTATTTATTTAAATTAAAATTAAAATTAAAATATTTAAATTATAATTGCCAATTTCTGTGCGTGTACGTTTCAAGAATATCTTCTCGGAGCCCCGCCCGCATACGAAACCTTCGAAGGCTTGAACTGGCGACTGACGAATCTTTAATGAGGCGACTGGCATCTTCCATCTGTGCTTCTTCTCCTCAAATTCCCTCAGCCCCTTCACCTCATTTGGATTCTTTTCCAGTCTCACATACGCTTCTGATTGCTATCCTTCCTGAGTTTCTCCCCAAAATCAATGGGGACACTTCTTATTCTTCTTTTGCTTTCTGTTTTCTCGAATCTGGGCACTTCTGGAGTTCAATCTGCCAACGATGGGTTTATCTCCGCCGTCGTATCTGAAAAAGGCCTCGTCTTCGCGAAGGATTTCCTCGTTGAACAGGTGATTCGATCATTGACTCCCCTTCACTTGCCGGATATCCAGAAGTCAGTGAAGATTCCTCTTGTTGGGGGAGTTCATGTTTCCGCCTCTAATGTTACCCTTCACCACATCAATGTCTCTTCTTCAACCATTCATCCCGGGGATACTGGTATTGTGATCGTTGCTTCGGGCGCCAGTGCTAGCTTGAGCCTGGAATGGAGCTACTCATACAGTACTTGGATTTTTGTCCCTATTGAGGTATCTGATGAAGGGAGCGCCTCTGTCCAGGTGATTTGAGTTGGATAATCTTACTGGTATTATCTCGTTGGCGGCCTTGTCCATATTTTATTGGGAAGCTCACTTGATTGCTGATAAATGTGCTTTATTGGATTGTTCCGTATGGTATTTATTCTATTGTGTGGGTTTTATCTGCGTTATTAAACAGAAGAATTGGATATGCATTATGATATAATTTTCAGAGTTAGGTTGCGTAGTTTAAACCAAAAAAGTGTCTCATGAGTGTTATGCAATAAGTGAATGTTTTCAAATATTAAGTTAAATTTATAAAACTGAAATTGTCTCTGCTATGTTATATTGGATTCTAGTGTTAGACAGTGAAAAATCTGTCATAGATTTTTTTTTTTTGATAAAAATGAAAATGTTAAGATAAATATTTGGCAAAATTAAGTACTAATTAAGGAATAATTATATTAGAGGGAGGTTAGAGTAGTATCTATTAAAGATAAGGTAATTGATAGGGGGCAACTTGGCGTTTCAGTTATAGGCCAAGCTCCCCCATTTTTAAAATCATATCCAACCCAAATTTGATCAAATCTGAATTGGTAAATTTGGTTCAATTTTGTCCAATTTCCTTTGTCCAAATTTACATTATCTGCTCATTTCCTTTGGAAAAAGAAGGCATGTAAACAGAGTAGAGAGAATCAGAGAACATGAACAAAGGCATTGCATGATTTTAATAGAGATATGTGATATCTCTGTTCCTTTTTAGACACAATGTTTTGCAAGCCAATGCATAATGTGTTTTTGGGTGGTTGGATGGGATACTGATGCCTCCTATTTTTGGCTTAGGTTGAAGGTTTGGAAGTTGGTCTCACTATAAGATTGGAAAACAAAAATGGAACTCTGGCATTAAATGTTACAGATTGCGGCTGTTACATGGAAGATATACAAATTACATTGGATGGAGGAGCTTCTTGGTTCTACCAAGGGTATGTCATTTAGTAGGTTATTGTAAACCTTTATAAAGAAAATATTTTATATGGTTTAGGACCATTAAGTATATTTATTGTTGAAAAGGTTTTTTGGACCAGTGTTTGAATTGGAATAAAAGTGCGTACCCATTATGTACTGGATGGAACATAGATTGGGAAATTCTAATTTATAAATCATAGCTATTTTTTGAATATAATTAATGGTCATCCATATGCTTACAATATTTTTAAACCATGGTTCTTGTTTTATATATATTTTCATGGCAAGTAAGAACAAAGGATTTAATTATTATTTACATTCTTCAAGGAGTCAGTAGTGCGCTGTGAAATTGATGGTGTTGTTGGTTTCTTGTGCTGATGTTATAAATGGAGTAATCTTAGCATAAAGGTTTGGTGATGTTGTTTGTGTTTTGAGCTAAGTTATAAATGGAGTAATCCTATTGTAGATGTAGAATAGAGTAAGGTAATGAAAGAAGTGGGGTCTTGACAATATCCAAAGGGATAGAATTCAATAGTGTTAAAGAGGAAATAGGCAAACTAAGAATTCACTTGGCTAAAAGGAAAGAAGTGCATGATCCATTCCACCATGAGGAGAGATAGGAGCATGGTTATAACTAGAAGAGAAGGGTGCATAAACAAGGGGGAAAATGAGATTGGATACTAAGGGATCATGATTGTAATTAGAGATTTGTGACTGTTGTGGGGGTTGCACAGGCAAACCCAAGTGAGCAAAATCATTTCTTTCAATGATTTAACTAACATTAATTATGTAACAAAGCACTATTGCTTATATTAGTAGTTCATATTGAAAATTAAAACGCCTAGAACAAAGAATAAAGTTTTTAATATAATCTATGACTAGTGACACTTCCTTATGAGAATTGAAATAAAGATAAACAAGGGAAAATGATGTAAAACATAATATAAATAAGATATACATGTTCGCCCCACTTTTGCCTGATCAAACCAGGATATTTCATATTTGTAGCTTGACCAAGAAAGAAAACTTGATTGTGAACAATTGCTATTGGTGGACCAACAGTTGAAAAGTTTTCTTTATTCAAATCATTTTTATTATAATAGATTTGATTTTCCATATCAAGGCACATAGGGGAATTTAAATTTCTTATATATTTACTGGTAAAAAAATAATTTTTAGTTTAGTAAATCCCCTGTTAGCAGTAAGCTTTAGCCATTTGATTTTTCACATTTAAAGGGGGCATCTAAGAACCAGAAAATCATTGAAGGCTAGTCTTTTACCCTATACACTAGGTTCCTTCAAGATTAGCAAAAATATGCTCCAAGGGCTAGAAATCAGTAAAGGAGAACCTCTCACCTCTATGCCAGCTTCTTTTAATCACTAGCCTGACTATGCCTCGTACTTCTCTTTTTCACGGTTTAAAGGGGGCATCTAAGAGCCAGAATGGGATTGGAAGGGAAGGGAGGGGAGGGGAGGTGAGGGAGCAAATTATTGAAACAAAGATAGCGAAAGGATGAAATTTTTGTGGGATAGAAAACTTAGAGAGGAAGGGATTGATGCCAGTATTTCTATTATAGAGTTCTTACTCAGGTTAATTTTTTAATGATGCTTAGTTTTTCAAAGCTAAAGCTGAATTTCTATCTCTTTCTCATTTTTTTATTTTTTATGATGCTTTGAGAGTGTAAATTTCATGGAGTTTTTTGATAGGAAACACTTGAGTTTGCAAGCAATCCTAACCAAATTCGGTAAGCAAAAGAAACTGCTGTTTGTATCAGAAAAACGGCAAAATTCTGCTGTTGACAGCAGGAAATCAGCACAGTTTAGGTAAAACTGAGAGAAAAACGCAAGTAGAAACTTGTATTCCACTAGTTTTCTACATAAGTTTTCTTATTTTTTGCTTTTTATTTTGATAGTTGGTTGTATTAGATCTGCATGCCTCATTTCTCATAACTAATACTTACTGATTATATCAATAATGTAAAATAAATATCCCGAAATAATTGGCATAAAGATAATGACAATGATGATGGTGATGATGATGATGATGATTTTGATGATGGCAACAACATAAATAACTGTTCAAACATTTTGATAGTTTGTTTTCTTACCCCATTTTGCATTTTTGACACATGGTTGGCATAAACTTTTCGTAAGATAAACGTATTCATGTTCCTCTTTTGCATTTTTCTAGGTTTGCTAATGCTTTTGAGAATAACATTAGATCAGCTGTGGAAAATGCTATAACAAAAAAAATTTTTGAGGGGACGGGAAAGCTAGACTCATTTTTGCAGTCTCTACCAAAGCAAATTGATATGGATAATATTGCAGCATTAAATGTAACTTTTGTTGATGACCCTGTGGTTGGAAATTCTTCTATTGAGTTCGATGTTAATGGCTTGTTTGTTCAATCAACTAGAGACTTGACAGCGAGCTATCTGCATAAGCATTCTCATTCTATTTATTCAGTTCAATGTGGCAATACATTAAAAATGCTGGGGATCTCACTGGATGAAGCAGTCTTTGATTCTGCATCTTTGGTGTTATTTGAGGTAATACTTTGCCTTTTGGTGGCTTGTTGCTGTTGGTTTAAAGCTTTTCTGGTATGCTCCATGTGGAATTATGAGCTTACAAAGGAATGCTTACGTATGATTGGCTGGTTTATAGGAGTCCCAAGCGGGCAGTGTCTTGATTCAATTTCCTTTCTTGCGTCATTATGAAATTTAAGTTTACCAATTTTTGTCACACTAATGAAAGCTAAAGCAGGATAATTCATAAGAGATCATTAATCAAATTTAGAGATTAGTGCACATTTTTTATCCTTTTATAATTATTGAGCCAATATATTATCTCTTTTATTATAACTTCATTTTAATGGGAATTTATAAAAAATCTTTGGGTTTGCCTTTTTATTTATTTTTTCCTAATTTGTATTATTTTTAGAATGGTCCAATTTCAAAATTTTAATTTTATTAAGTAATTATTTATGATATGAAATATATTCTTCCTGTTCACATGCATATCATGTGCGATTGCGATTGCGATTGCCTAATAGCATCTGATTATTGTTTCTGATATTAAACAGATGACTTTAGTTGCCAAAAAATAACCAAATTGAGGAATTCAATAGATGCCTAGTAATAAACTGATCTAGATTTCCAGAATCTTTCCAGCATCTATGTGGTAGAAAATAACCAGATTGAAGGAGGAAAAGATAGAGAAAATGAGAGATTTGAAACGGAAATATCTTATTTAAAAACTAGGACTAAAAAAATTAATGAAGATCAACTCTTCAAACTTAGGTGAACTCTCCTTATAGTTTTCTTTTTGTATTGCCATCATAGATCAGAGAATTTCTTTCATATATCATTCTGATTTCAATTGCTGTGTATATCCTGTATGTTGAAATACAAACACTAAACAGTTCTCATGTTTTATGCTGGCAACTATATGTCTAAATATTTTTCTTTGGCCTATGTTCAAGTGGTGATGCCTAAAAACATTTTAATTTGGAATATTTGCTTTGTTAGAGAAAATAATTATCATCATTATTTTTATATGCTCACATTTCAGCCTTATCAATGCTATTATGGTTCAGCTTTGAGTTGCTCATTGCCATTTGTTCTTGTTTATGAGCTATTATGGCTGCATATGTGAGGCCTTTTTCAATCTTAAATTTTTTATTGATAGAACTTTTTTAAGTTTGGCCTATTTCATTTTTATCCTATATTTTTTTAAAACATGTTGTTTACCTTACTTTTTACACATTCTAAACATTTTTTCTTTGGTTGGCCCTCTACCATATTCTAGGACTGAGATTTGAATATTACAGTTTTGCCTAGACAGAATTCTCAAACATTTTGGGTGTTGGCATGCTTGAGGAACCTAGTTGGAAATTTTGTTTTAATCATCATTATAGAAACATGTAAAATTTTGCCACTTACTTGGGAACCGATGTACCAAGACTCTGATGTTTATGCATGAATTTCAATACATAAGGTTGCTGTACCGATAAGACCTCCCAAGTTTTTCTCAAACCTCTTTGTAAAATGCCTTGTTTTAGTACACGAAATTATTTTTTTTATGCCTTTGATTGTCAGCTAGGGTTGCAAGTGAGCTAAACTTGTTCGTGAGCTGACTCAAACTCAACTTGTTAAGTAGCTTATGAGTCGAGCTTATCAAGCTAAGTTTGAGCTCAACCTCATATGACAACGCATATATTATATAAGCTTGAGTTCAAACTTGATGGGGCTTTGCTTGTTGAGCTGCTCGATTAGTTTCAATTCTTGTGACCACTGGTCAGGATCTAAGTGTTGGGGAAGTAAAACACACTGCAAATACAAACAAGAAAGAGAAAATGCAATGAAAAGAAAAAGCACCATGATTTAACGTTGAAAAACCAAAACAAGAAAAAAACCACGGAGCACATTACACCAAGAAATTCATTATGAAAATTGGGAGAAAAAGTACATATATCTCTTCTATTCACTCTCATTGTTTCTCTTCACTCTAGCACTATTTTCTTACTAGAACTAATAAAGAGATACCCACTTAAACTAACAAGGGATGCAACCCTTCATGAAAAACGAGAAAGAAAATTGCCCAGCTCACCCAGCAGTGTCAGGGCGCTCAATTCTCTATCTCCATTTTTCTTGGCAGCGCCAGATTTTGAAGCGTCGTAGTGCTCCACTCTTTGTATACCTCCAAACAAAGAATACAACGCCACAACGCTCGGGTACACAGCGCTGCAATGTTGTTCGATTATATGAAAAAAAATTCAATTACCAAGCACCCAAACCCAAGTAAGGGGAGGACCCCTAACGAGCTTAACCAATGAAATTGTGGTCCAAGGCAGAAGCAGTACAACCCGATTAATCGATGCAACCAGTTTCCACACAAAATTAATAATCTCTAGCTTGGAAAATGATTGCAATCAATCCTTCCGATCTGTAGCACCAATCATAGTACATGCAATGTTACTCACCCCTGCTCTTATTCTTCTTGAAGACCAACTAAATCTACACATAGCTTCGGTTATCAGTTGTCACCGTCTTCGTCAACATGTGTGTAGGATTCTTGGTCATGTGAATCTTCAAAGGTAACTGACCATCTTCCAGAAGCGATATGATGAAATGATACCAAAGCTGGATATGCTTCATCTTAGCTTGGAATGCAACATTCATGACTAGATGAATAGTGTTCTTGTTATCACTATGCAACTTTCCATTCCTTTGCCCTTTGCCAAGTTATGCCAAGAAACTTTGCAATCATATCATCTCTTTATTATCATCAATGATAGCAATATACTCATCTTCTGTGGTTGAGAGCGCAACAATCTTCTATAACTTGGAAACTTAACTCATTGCAGTTTTTTTTTCATAGTGAAGATCTAACCTGGCTTTGATACCAATATGGTGTAGGTGATGACCTGCAACAAAACACTACACATCAATAGAACAGTAAAAATGGTTCTGTAAAGGGTGTTGATAATTCCAAGATAACTTCCTTCTCTTCCAAAAGAGAAGATATAACCTAAAACAAGAGTTACTATCTCTGTTAACCTTTTTGGAATAACAATAAAAAGTACGAAATTATAAAAGTAGCAACTAAAACGGTTTTGGAGCAGGGAACGTGGCACATGGGTTGTAGTAATATATTCCCTGTTATTCTCTATCAGGTGTTAGCCGCATCATATTTCTCCTACCATCAAGATCTCCAACAAAATCAGAATCTACAAACCCCTGTAGATCAATCCCTACATCTTCAAAACAAAGAACTTTGTCAATTGATTATCTAAAGTATATGAGAATTCACTTGATTGCCTCTCAATGAAGTTTGTCTGAGTTAATCATAAATCTGTTGACAACTCCTATTGTATATACTATATTTGGTCTCGTACAGATCATATCATGCATCAAACTTCCAACTACTGCAGCATATACCATTTGTTTTTTTCTTTGCTTCAAATTTAGACGATTATTCCTTGGATAGCTGAAAATGACTACCCAAGGAAGTGCAAACGGGCTTTAACTCACTCGTGTGGAATCTCTTTAGCACATTTTCAACTTACTCAACTTTAGACAATGTCAATATACCTACACTTCTATCCCAATGTTAATATACCTACACTTCTATCTTTGTTGATTCTCATACTGAGAATTTTTTTTCTCCTTTAATAATTGCTCCTTAAGGCATCTAATCTTCTCCATATCTGACACTATAATTAGCATGCCATCCACCTATGAAATCAAAATGATATAACAGTTATCAAAATATTTGAAAAAATTACAGTGATTTTTCTAGCACTTTGTGTATCCATTATCTGACATAAACATATCAAATCTCCTAGATCACTGTCGTGGTGCTTGCTTCAGCCCATATTGGTTCTTTTTTAGCCTACACACAATATCTTCTTTACATGTGACCACATATCCCTGAAATTATACCATACAACTCTGCTTCAATGTCACCATGAAGAAATATTGTCTTTACATTCATCTGCTCTAGATATAAATCTTTCACTGCTATAATGCTTAGCATAACTCTGACTGTAGTCATCTTCACCACTGGAGAAAAAATTTTCAATATGATCCACTCCTTCCCTTTGTTGAAAATCCTTAACTTCAAGCTTGGCCTTATAGCATTTGCTACCATATGGTTCATCTTTCACTCTATAAACTCACTTATTTTGTAGTGATTTCTTGTCTAATTCAATTCAAGTGAATGTATCTCATCATTCATGACTTGCTCCTACTTCTTTGAGTCATCAATTTGTATGGCTTTATTATAACACTGGTTCATCATTTATCAACAATAGATAATATAAGGATCTGCTAATTTCAATAGCAAGTATTTAATGAACTCTTTATGCTTCATCAGCTTGAGCATGCCTTTTGTCTTTGTCTTATTGATCATCATTATCATCATCATCTATCTCAATATATTTGAAAGAATTTCTAGGAGTCTCATTTCTATCATTGTGCATTTCATTTCTATTGAATGTAACATCTCTGCTCCTGATGAATTTATAATTTTGATAATCCTAGAATTTATAGCCAAATTCATCTGAGCTATATCCAATGCATGTACACTTGATAGATTTTAGATCAAGTTTACTCCTAGATCCTGCATTAACATGAACATAGGATGAAGAACTAAAAACTTAGAGGTGATATAAATTTACCTCCTTGCCACTCCAGGTTTCCTCAGGTAACCCCTCATTTAGAGGAAATGAAGAACCACGATTGATCAAATAAACAAATGTATTCACTATCTCTGCCCAGAATCATTTGGTTAGACTTGTATGCAATCTCATGCTCCTAACATGCTCAGTGATAGTTCTATTCATGCATTGCATAACACCATTCTGCTATGGCGTTCTTGAAATAATGAATTCATGCTTGACCCCATTCAAAGTACAATACTTCTTGAACTTCATGTCACAATATTCGCTACCATTATCTGATCCGAGACACTTGTTTTAAACTTGTCACATTCTCACCTGTGGCTTTTCACTTCTTGAAAACATCAAAACATTCGACTTATATTTTAAGTACACCCATAATAACAATGCTAAAGTCCTCTATCAACATCTGAATCAGCTACTCCAATAGAATTGATCTTTTGTTGAAAATATACAGGGTGTCTCCAATCTACCATAAGCTATAACTATAGCCTATTTTGTCACCTTCCTTGAATCTCCTGTGAATGATGTCACATGGCTTGAGTTTGCAAGCTAATTCGCAGAGTGATTTTTTTTCTGACCTCCACCATTAGCCTTCTTTAGAGCAATACATTTTTTTCAAGTGATCATTCTTTCCACAATTCCAACACACAAACTTTCACTCTACCTGAAATAGTTTTTCCTCTCCTTAATTTAGACCTTTCTCTACTTGAATTTCTATTTAAACCCCCTTCCTCTGGCTTTTAAATTTAGAGTAGAATTTGAATATTCACCATTCGCCTTCCTGCGAACTTCTTTGTTAAGCACTAACCTCACAATATCCTCAAAGTTCAACTTTAAACTTCATGAAAAGTTACTCACAGCAGAAACCAACCTATCACAGTTATCTGGCTATGAAGATAACAATAGCAATGCTCTCATCTCATCATCTAACTTTATGTCAACTAAACACAACTGACTCATCACATTGTTTAGATTATTCAGGTGCTCTTCCATTGAAGGGTTGTCTAATATATTCATATTGAATAATTTCTTCATCAAGAATACTTTGTGTGAGGCCAACGACTTCTCATATATCTTAGTCAGTGCAGTCATGAGATTGATGGTAGTCTTCTCATTTTATAATATTGAAGGCAATAGATGAGGAAAGTGAAAGTCAAATCAAACCTCTAGAGTTGTTCAGTCAAGAAACCTCCCACTCTTCCATAGTCATTGAATATGGCTTCTTGGTGATTCTATCTAGCAGCAAATCAACTTCTTATGGTTTAGCAAATCTTCAATTTGCATCTTCCATATTGCAAAGTTCGAACTGTTGAATTTCTCAATCTCGTATCTTATTTTGTCAGCCATTATTGTCATTCGAACTGAAGAACTTGACTCTCGTTCCAGTTGTTGGGGAAGTAAAACATGCATCGAACACAAAAAAGATATAGAAAATACAGTGGAAAAAAGAACATCAGGATTTAACATGGAAAAAATAGAAACCCAAAATACGGAGTCAAACAACACCAACAAATTTAATATGAAAATTAGGAGAGAAAGTACAGATCTTTCTTCTCTCTCACTATCTCTATCCCTCTTCACTCTTGCACTGTTATATCACTAGAACTAACAATGCCATACCCAATTGAACCACCAAGGGACTCGACTTGAGTTGAAAATAAGAAAGAAAACTGCCCAGCCTGCCTCGCAATGCCACACCGCGGCACTCAACTATCTATCTCCAGTCTATCTTGCAGCACCATAGGGGGAGGACCCCCTGCATTCCCTTGGCAAGTTCCACCGATGGAATTGAGGTCCAAGGCAGCAGTACAACCTGATTGATCAACACAATTAGATTTCACACAAAACTAACACTAAGTTTGTCTTGAATCTCAATTTTCAAAATCTTGATTCACACCTAATTTTTTATTCCTAAATGAGAAAGCTGAAAAGTAGTCAATGGCTGGAACCAACTTCCATGTATTGCCCTAATGCTTGCCCCTCTCCCCAAACCAACTCCTCTTTTTTTATACCTTTAGACACCAAAGTTCTACCTTCATTCCTTTATTTCATCACTCAAAACTCCAATCTTCTTCACGCCATCACACATTTCATGCCTTCATTCCATAGTCACAATTTATTTTTCTATTCAAAATTTTTAAACTTTCACTCAATGTTAGTTGTCATGCCAAATTGAGCTCTTTTATTTAGTTATCCTGAGCATCAACAACTTCATTTCAAATAATTTATAAGCTAAATACAATATGCAAATAGCTAAATTATTTGTTGCAAATTATCAACAAACGTTTAATTGTATGTTAAAAGTTTAGACTAAAAATTCTGAATATTTTAAAGTCATCTTATACCGTCGATCTCAAAATTGAGTCAAGCTTGAGCGTTCTAGTTGAGATGGAGCATATAAGTCATGTTCGAGTCAAACATTCATAACTGGAGTTTAGTTTGAGCTCAATATATGAGCTCAAGTTGGGCTTAAACTTGAGTTCGAGTCTAACATAAAATAAACAAACTTAACTTGATTTAGCTATGACTTAAACTTGACTCATTTATGCCCCTATTGCCATCTATTAAGAAGATTTCCCAAATTGGACTTGTTGCTTGTTAAAAATGACGTTTGGGCATCTGAATGTCATTTTGTGCCCTGTAAGGCTAGTAGTTGACGAGTTGGCACATGCTATGGCATGACTAGTTTAATCTTCTAGATTCTTGCTTCTAATTTGGTAACCTGAGGACATAAAAGTTTGTCAAATCGAATAAAATGTACAAATACCTAGAAGAGAAAGTACACTTGTTCTTTTACTATTTTCTATCTGTACTAATTTGTATTAATTTTGTTGGTCCATTGTTTCAGGAAGGATTGTTTCATTGGATGGTTGACAAGGTTCCTGATCAATCTTTTTTAAATACTGCCAACTGGAAGTTTATTATTCCTCAATTGTACAGAAGGTACCCCAATGATGAAATGCAGTTGAATATTTCTTTATCCTCTGCTCCGGTGGTAGAGGTTACACAAAAAGGTTTTGCTGCTACCATTTTCTCGGACATTACAATTGAAGTCTTAGATAGTAACAAGACAATTCCAGTGGCATGCATATCTGTGGTATGCTTCTTGCAAGCAACTATTCAGTTATTTCTTATGCATTTTTCCCCTTTATGTTTTTCTCTCTCATTCTTGTGGCACTCAGTAACGTTATTTATCACCTAAACATTTAGAATCGGTATCACGAGATGAACAAAAGCTTGGGGAATTCTTTAATTTTGAATGATCAATTATTTCGTTTTCTAGGGACTATTGTTTACAATGGATGTAGTTACAGTTATAGCATTAGCGTGGCTCTACATTTTGTTTAATTCTGAAATAAACTGATTTGGTCATTTAGTTATACTAACTGACCCAATCCAGTTGCTTTATTTTGATATTTATTCCATTTACTAGTTTCTATCCCAAGGGCGTCTTTGTTGGAAATGGGGAAATCTAGTAGGTACGACTGTTTGGTTGTTTCTGATGTGGATTATTCACTTAGTTAGAAAGTTGTATAGAAATTGTTTCTTGTTTCAGTCCTGCGGGATCTAATGTAGTTGCTCGTTCAGTTTGATCTATTAGTTAAATTCAAATACTAAACACCCCAACTCTGTAATTATCATTGGAGAAGCTTGCTAATTATCTTATCATGCTTTGCTTGTTTTTCTTGATAAAAGGTTGGATGGCTCAACAAAAATGAGTCATTGTTGTGCTTGCAAATGCAATCAACACATTTGTTTTGGAGCTTTTAGTTGAATTTTGTATAGCTTTAAGTATATACAAAGCACAGATAAACACAAAATTGTGCATACACAGAATTATACATCTGTGTATGTATAAAGAAAAGGTGTTCCTAACATAAGTTGGGTCCAAAAGGTGGTATAATCCAACAACATAGAACAGGATGAAGAGATCTACTCCCAAATAATGAGATAAGTCTCAAGAGTAGACCAAATAAAACAATTTTGTATTTAAGATGAAAGATTCACATATAAATATATGTAAAAAGAAATTATAATCATCAATATAAGAAATGAAATTTTATTGCATTAACAAAATCTTTAATAGAATTTCATCAAAGAAAACAAGTACCCTCAACAAATGGATAGGAAAGGAGAGAAATCAACTACATTCGTAATAACTCAAAACCAATGTAATTCTTAACAAGTACTGTAACTGAAGCATAAATATTGAATCCATATTAACTATTGCTGAAAGATCTGCTCTCATGATGACAGTCCACTATTCAACTCTAAGGGAAATGCTAAGAGAAAAGCTAAGTACAAATGAGGTAGTCACATAAACTTAATATATAATTTATATTCATCAAAGCATGAACAACAAGAAATGACAAGTAATATGAGTAATAAAAGAAGCATAATTTATAATGGAATATCATTCTGGAATATCATTCTGCCCAATGTCATTGTAGTTTCAGGTTAAAATAATATCTTATATCATGAATGATTAATGATTGGCAGTATGGTGATGTTGATGTGCATTCATATGAAAGATTAATAATCAATGTATTTTCATGTGCAATTACATCAGCTATTCATATAGTTGATTTGCCAATATATCCTGAACATAAAGAAGGTTTTTGTCCACCTAATAGAGTCCAACTCTTAAAATAGTCGTCACTCTGTGGACCTATCGGCCAACTAGCCAATCACATTACAAGGTGTTCTATTGACATTACATTTATATAACATAAATGCACACTATATATAAATGTACACACACACACCAAATAAGCATTATTACAATGCTCTATAATCATTATGATCAAAACTTGTTACATATTAAGATAGGGAAAATTATCAAAATAGTCCCCAACTATATTTAAGGACCATTTTGTCCTTCAATTTCTTAAAAAGGAACCAAATAGTCCCATGATGAGACTATTTTTGTTCATCTTTAAAATATTGAGTAATCAAAATGATCCTTTAATATAGTTGAGACCCTTTTGATCTTTCATAAAGAGTCAATGGACCATTTTGGCCATTTTCTTTATTAAGATGATATGATTTACATGTATACAACCTATTTTATTTCAACTAATGGTATGCATGAGAAATAAATTTTGTTATTTATGGATCATTTTAAAATTAAAGAATTTATGCAGCAATTAATCATAATAAAGCTATCTACACATTATATGACATTTCAATATGAATTTTAAAAGAAAATTACCAAAATGTGTAAGACATGTATGATGTGAAAGGTTGATTGACAATCAACCAAGTATCTAAAAAACTAGCCACGAGTATCAAAGACAACATTCCTCATAAAGAAAGGTACATTTATCCTTAAAAAATAAAAATACTTGCCTCATGCATGTAGTAGAAGTTCAAAACTCAATTTAGATTCAATGAAACAACACCGAAGGAATACCAACCCAAATGTCCCTACAACATCAACATTAAGCAAGTGGGGTCGGTTATATGAATCTTTTTTTTTTTTCATTGTGTCTTGTTAAGAGTTAAATTCTCATTTAAATTTAATAAAAAATATCATTTCTAATATTTTTTAGCCAAGTTTTTTAGGTCTATCTCTATCTTTCTTAACATAAGTCAAATCTAATACATCTACTTTCCTAACCGGGTCATTGGAATGCCTCCATTTTATGTGACCAAACCATCTAAGGTGACTCTCTCTAATCTTATCTCCCACTGGAGCTACTCCAATCTTTTCACATATATTTTCATTTCGTATCTGTCTCTAAGAGTATAACCACTCATCCACCTAAGCATCCTCATCTCTGCAACACTTAATATTATGCTTCTCTTTTAATGGACAACATTCTGCACCATAAAACATTGCAGGTCTAATCACCATCTTATAGAATTTTCTCTTAAGTTTGAAGGGGGCTTTTTTATCACACAACAAGCCCGATGCATTCCTCCACTTCAATTATCCAACTTGAATTCTACTAATAATATATATCTATCTATTTTAGCATCACGCTAAACAATAGACCCAATATATCGAAAACGTGTACTCTTATTAATGACTTGATCACCCAAACTCACAATCCCCCCACTAGATCTATTATTACTAAAATTACACTCCATATATCCAGTTTTAAATCTACTTAAAATAAAGTCTTTAGACTCTAAGGTTGATCTCCATAATTCGAGTTTACTTTCAACTCCCTCTTTAGTCTTATTAACAAGAAGAATATCATCAACAAAAAGTATAAGCAGGGTACAACCTCTTGCAAATGTCTAGTGAGAACATCCATGACTAAGCAAAAAGATATGGGCTTAAGGCTGATTATTGATGTAATTCAACTGAAATAGAAAAATACTTGGTCAAACCACCTTGTGTTTGAACACAAATAACAGCTCTTGTATACATATCCTTAATGACTTGAATATATGCATTGTTAACCCTTTCTTTTCTAGAATTCTCCATGGCACTTCTCTTGGAACTTTATCATATGCTTTCTCTAAATCAATAAGTATCATATGTTGATTCTCCTTATTATATTTATACTTTTCCATCAAACCTCTCAATAAATGTATAGCTTTCATAGTAAACCTACCCGGTGTGAATACAAATTGATTTGCGAAACATTAGCATCACGCCGCAACCTATGCTCCATAACTCTCTCCCATAGTTTTAAACTATGACACATTAACTTAATTCCTCTATAATTTGTACAATCTTGTGCAACATATTTATTCTTAAAAATATAAGTCAATACACTCATTCTCTACTCGTCTGGCATCTTTTTAGCCTTCAAAATAATATTAAAAAGTTTAGTAAGCCCATAAATTCTTTTATCTCTTAAGCATTTCCACACCTTTATTGGAATATCATTATGTACAACAGCTTTTCCACGCTTCATTTTCTTTAAAGACTTTCTAATTTCGGTTTTACTAATGCACAAATAAGAACAAAAATTTTTATTTTCATTTAAGGTGCCAAGGTCACTAAAGTTAATCGCATTCTCATAATCTTTATTGAAAATTTAGAAAAATGACGCATCCGCCTTTGTTGAATATCCTCTTATAATAAAAGCAGTTTTTTATCTTCATCCTTAATACGCTTCACTTAAACTAAATTCTTACTATTATCTTTGTTTGACTATCTTATACATATATCTTTCGCCCTCCTTAGTATGTAATATATTATATAAATCATTAAAAACTAAAATCTTTGCATTGCATATTACTTTCTTAGACTCATTGCGGGCCACTTTATACCTTTTTTAATTATCATAATTTATCTTTTTATTTTTTATCTTTTCTTGCACATTTTGATTCGGCCACTAACTATTTTTACTGTTATGAGATTTTCTTTTTGATACTACAAGCACATCTTTTGCAATATTCTTAATATCATTAACTATTTTTTCCCATATAACATTAGCTTTCCTTATGTACAGACAAAATCTTAAGATCTAGTATCTTACTCTAAAAAATATTGTTAATATTCTTTAAAAGCTCCCATCTAATCATAAAATATTTTAATTTTTTTCCTGCCCCTTCATCTTAAAGTTCAAAACTAATAAATGATGTTGGGTACATAAACTTTCACTCGAAATAACTTTACATTCTTTGCAATCTAAGCAAATTTTTTTTTATAAGAAAATAATCAATCTGAGATTTACTACATCAATTATTATAAGTGATGAGATGCTCATCTCATTTCTTGAATAATCCATAGCGAACTAAATGAATGATGTAGTTTCAACTTAGTCCACATAATATGTTAACCCATAGTCAACCTAGATAAATTATTATCCTTATGAAATTAAACACATAATTATATAATCTATCTTTCAAATAAACTAAAACAAAATCTAGATCTATGTTTAAAAAGTATTGAATCGCTTAGCATACCTAATAATGAGAAGGAATAAAGGCTTGAGTAGCAATGTGGTAAAGAATAATAGGGCTTCACGGTTAACTTCCTGCTAAGAACAAATAAAAATTATAAGGTGACTTCAGCAACTCTCAAATTAATAAATAGTCATGACTTATTACTATTTTAAATCATAATGATCTTAATTAAAATTACTAATCATTTTTAATTATGAACAATAAATAGTCATGCTTAATTATCTGATAATTTAGATATATAATGCCAAGTTATCATAATTAAATATTATACAAAGTTTAATGACCATAATTAAACTTTAATTATTTTCTTAATCAGCCTTAATAGTTATTTTGTTATTACGCATTAATATTTAATTCTAACCTTATTTTTAATAAGTAAATACTAAGAATATATTAATAAACTAATTAATTATGACTTATTCCTTAATTATTAATTAGTTTAGCCAATTAATTTATTAATTGCTTTATTATCATAATTAAATACTAGTAAAATTTCAGCGATATTGACTAAAAACTAATTAATGCATAATTAGCTTAACTTTATTAATTAAGTTTAATAGCCCAATTGTTATTATTAAATAGTTATCAGACATAATGTTAATAATTTAAGCTATAATTAATCTCTAATTTGTTTTAATGAAAAATTAATGTTTTTTATTTTAATTATCATGTGCCTAATTATCAAAATTATTAACATTCATAAAATATTAGTGTTGTTAATTATAACAGTAATTATCCACTATTTAGTTTATTAATATTTATTAATGTAATTAATATCCAATTTGTCTAATTTATCGAAACAAATACTTGAGACATTCCAAAACATATGAAAACACCGGTGTTTTCCCAATTTCAGGAAACTAAACATTTTGTTGCAAAAAACAAAAAGATTGAACTGGTTGCCAAACATCTTTCCCTCACTAAATGCCTGTTTTTAAAAACAAATAACAAAAAACTGTAAACATTGCATAATCATGAACATCACCTAATTCAAACATAGCCTAACATAGTTATTGATATAGTGTACCTAATTATTATACTTTGTTGTGCTATACTAAATTCTCTGATGTCTAAATTACTTTATTTTGATGGATTAAGGCTACAGGATATAAGGATATTTTCAAGCTGCCACCCTCACTTTTCACCTTTCATGAACTCTGATTTGATGTTTCTTTGGATCCTTGCATCCTTCAACTTTGTCATAAATATTTTGTTGAATTTTCTACAGGACTTCACTGTCTCAGGTGATGTAAACATATCTGGGAATAAACTAGTTAGTAGAGCTCGTCTAAATGACTTCTCTCTATCATTGAAATGGAGCAACATTGGTAATTTTCGAATGATTTTGATTCAGGTGAGATATTTTTACTTCAGTTTTCCATATCTCAATACACCTCCTTAGTTTATATTATTTGCATATTTTATGAACCTAGCAACGCAAGTCATCCAAACTATATCAGGTATATTTTATGTTCTGGATATTATGAAACTATTGTGTAACGGTTCTTCATGTGAGAATCACTTATAACAATGCAAGCATGTATCAAATGGAACTTTTGCTAGATACCTGATGTCATGAGTATTTAAATTCAGTTCAATAATCAATTGTTGATAACAGCAAAAGATCATTCGGTTGTCGGCTGCTAAGTATCAATCATGTTATCAATCTTTCTTTGCACTCGAGTATGCCAAAATAGTTAGATTCATAAAGCCAACTTAGAAGCATCTGATAATTTAAGGCTTCGTTTGAAACGGCTTTCTTACTGCTTCTTAAAATAGCTAGACTTTTTGTACTAAAAAGCTGTTTTAAGAGTAAGAAAGCCGTCCCAAATGAAGTCTAAATGATGATTATTTTGATTTTTTGATACTAAGGAACTTTGCCTTCTACATTACCAATGATGAAAATGTTAGATCCATCTTCTGTTAGTTCTTCAACTATAGTTTTGTTCAACATTTAGATTAGAAACTTACTAGTCACCATCTCATGTTTTTTGCAGGGTGTGATGAGGGTTTTCCTGAACACTGTTGTTATGCCTTATGTAAATATTTACCTTGGTAAAGGATTTTCCATACCTGTTTTCCATGGATTTACTCTTCAAAATGCCCAATTAGTGACCACAAGCTCAAAAATTACCCTCTGCTCAGATTTAACTTACATCAACTCCAACATCATCACAAATTGAAATTTTTTACAATCATGTACAAATTGTTAAGTTGAAGAATGTCTCTTCTCATTCTGCAACTTGGTAGGAGCATATTTCCTGTACAGTTAGCACAAGAGTTATCATGTTTTGTTCAACTGGTATGAAGCATTGAAGCTTGAATGAACTATAAATGTTTGTTTCACTTATTTTTTTTTTACTGTGAAAATCAGCTTAACAACCCTATGTGAAATCTGCTTTGAAGGGTGAAAAAACTGGAACTTGTGGGTAGAATATTTGAATTTATATGAAGTTTCACTTCTGAAGAAAACATATTTAATATCAAAATGTTTTTCTTTTCCCACAATGAGTATGCAAAAAGGTTATTGGGTGCCACATGCAGCCTTCATGAACTTCACTTTTGACTAAGCAATTGGCTTTTACAACGTCCATGTCGGTGGGGTTGGGTGGGCAATAACTACAGGCAATAAATATTCTCTACTATAACATATCTATTCTTGGTGCAATAAAAAAATTATATTTAGAATTGCAAATTAAAAGCCTTTCTTATTATAAACATAAACAAACATATATATAATATAATAATATTAGAACATAACATCTTACAATTTATATTAATTAATAGAAAAAAGATATAGATGGGGCAGGAACTGTGGATAGAGAAAAAGTGGTAGAAGACCGAGACGAAATAGTAGTGGGGAATGGGAAAGGAGGCTGGCTTGCAAGTTAGAATAAACTCGCACTTTTACATTCCAAAAATCATCACATACTCTCTCTTAAACTGTCACAAAACAATCCCTTTTATAGGGGAAAAATGGGGAAAAATATTTAATGCAAGGTAATTAAAGCACCATCCAAATAACCACTAGAATTTTCTTAAAAGCTATAGCAAACAGGGACCGAAGGAACAACAGTCTAAGGGAAAATGAAGCATCAATACAGCAACAATGGGCACAGAAATCGAAGGGACAGCAGTCCAAACCGAAGGGGTAGTTGTCAAGTGAAAAAATTGAAGAATGCAAGGCCCACAAATAGGCAACCTAACAACCAATGAATAGAAATTGAAGGGACAGAGCATCTTGATTGCATCAATTCTGCCTGGTTCAATTATCCAGCCAAACTCGATTTATGTTTAATTCATTTATTTATCCAGCCAAACATTATTGCAGGTCAAATTAGTCAGTAGTGATAAGATTATTAAGCAGATTTTAGTACACTGCATGATTATTATTTACGGATTATGCCTTAGTTGACTTCCAGACCTTTCTGATCAAGTTGGGGTTGACCTTTTTTGATCAATAAGCCATGGCTGAGGGGTTGATAATCTTTCAAATTGACATCCAAAGTGCTACGGTAAGTAGATTCATTACTCCTGATTTTAGACGTGTTTGATTGTGTCAACCTCTTAGCTCATAAATTTCATAGAAATTTCATTATAGTATAAAATTCATATCAAATATCTTTACTTTTTTTTTTTTTTTTCATTGAATGCCCTCTGTTCTTAGGAACTAATGCTTGTATACTAACATCAAATTAGGAACTAATGCTTGTATAAAAAAAAAGTGGAGATTTATCTGTGTTCTTCAAATCTTAAATAATTGTTCTATACCATGAAGTTCATGCAAAATTAGAAGATCTCAGAAAGTGGGATTGTAAATTTCAATATACATTTGTAAATGAGCTCGAGCCAGCTTGCAAGTCTTGGCTGTTAGAGTTTCGTAGTCCGCACACATCGGTCAAGTCATGCAGTCTGCATGCAAGCGGCGAGTCTTTGTCCCACAATCCGCATGTGTAAGCCAAATCTTGATGTTCGCATGCACGATCAAGTCCCTTAGTTCACCTCCACTTAGCACGATTCGACTCGCCCATCATAGTCCGCACGCGAGTCCAAGCCTTGAGCCCAGCTCGGTCCACCTCGTGCGGGTTGTCCACTTCAAGCCACGCGTGGCGCCTCAAGCCACAATGTGTACACTCATAATCCAAATGATTCTTTTCCTTTCGAACTCCGCACGGAATAATTTCTTCATCTATACAACAAAAAAATATATATATAATTCAATATTCACCTTTAAAAATAATTTGTCTGAATATAAACACATAATTCAAAAAAATCATGTATGAATAATATTCGAATCATATTCACAATTTTTTTTTTATCGTAATCATCTTACGCCCATGAAGGAACAAATCACAAATAAAAGAATCATGAAATCAAAAATGAATCATCATTTTAGTGTGAATCATCATTTTCTTTCCAAACAATAAAGATATAAATATAGAGAAGACATCAAATATATTTTCATTAAATACTAAAATATGAGATATAAGCTTAGTTTGAGATAAATTTTTACTGTTTTTTTAAAATAACTTTTGAATATATAAATTTTTAAATTAAAAATTTTTACACTAAAAAATAATTAAAAAAATTATCCCAATAGTTTAACATATGAAGTCAAAATTTTCAGTCCCGTGATACATCCCTATGATGTTCATAGGCCATTTCTGTGAACCAGCCGTCTTTTTCTTCCTTATTCGGTGAGGTTTTCTTTGAAATTTTTTTAAGGCAGTCGGCCATGTTTATTGGTACGGCGTTCCTAAAGATTCTCTGTAACCTTCATTATTTTATAATCTCAAAAATATTTAATCATATTTGTCATTGTTATATCCTATTATTACTCTGCACTGCTTTATATAAAACAATAAAATAAAATTACTCCTAATTTTTTTTTAATAACTTTCTTATTATTTTTTTAAATAATTTTTTATATAAAAAATTTAATATTTTATATAAAAATTTATAATAGAAAATAATTTAAAAAAATTTTCATTTTTTTTCAATACTGCAAATAATCACAAAAGATAAACAAACATGTAGGCCGTTGAATTTTTTTTTTTTTTTGAAGGCATTAAGTAGCTAAAAAGTTCATTTGTTTGATACTTCAACTACTTCGAGAAGATTTTTAAACTTAGTTGTCTAGTGTTCGCATATTAATGGGAGCTTCTATAAAAAAATTTAACTCAATTTTGTACTTTCGATGTACAACTGAGCCTTCATAACTAATTTTATAAAATTTTTAAAATTTTGGAGTAAGTTTTCTTTCACAATTTTTGTTCCAATCGAATCAGCAACTTTGGGGAATGCCAAAATTACGAATATGAAGATTTTTTTTCTTTATTTATAACTCTGAAGAGAGGTTCATATTGATGCCTAAAGAGTAGTCGTGTCTTGTAAATTGTTTAAAATTATAATTTTTGGCCTTCAATATTTTCAAATGCTAAATGAATATTTTCAAGGGATGTATAATTTGATGTCTAAAAATAAGAGGTAATTGACACATCATCAGAAAATTCACTTAATAACGCACATATTTAGATTCACATTTGAATTGAAAAAACTTTCAGAATTAAATTTTAAGCCATCTAAATCCCAATTTTAGGAAACTTATATTCAAACTGAATGTCTTGCGAGACGAACTCATCAACACAAAAGTAATCTAATTCATGTCCGAACTAGTCTTGATCAAACACTTGAAGTATAATTGAAAGTTTGATGGCATTAATTAGATGGCCAAATTGTGTCCTAATCTCAGAGGTTGTAATCAAATCAAGCCTTTATATGAGATGGTCCAATGAGGCCAAATTTGCTTAATTCTTACATCATTAAGACACCTAAATGTCAAAATAATAGAACATGACTAACGAAAAAATATGAGTTTTATGATAGGGTTTTTCATATTTTGACTATATTTACATATCACACATCTCTTAAAAATAATAAATAGATCCTCACTCTCTACATAAAGGGGGGTCTTTGGCTGGAGATTCAAATAAACTTAGAGTCTTGAGGGTTTTTGGAGCTAGCTACATCAGACCACCATCATCTAACTACCATTATCAGACAATCACATAAACACCACTACTAACAAACCATCTCCATCAAAACACTGCCGTTTGACCATCTCCACCAAACTAACACAATTTGATCACTACAGTCATATCATCATCATTTGATCATTGCCAACTAACTATCATTATTGGACTTCCACTCTCTAACCATCGACTATGGTTATTTGATCACAGTCATATGATTACAATTCTCCAACCTCCATCGCATTGACTTCATCGTCTGTCATTGCTAGTGGTGTCAATGCACAATATCGCATTAAGGTGAATACATGTTGTCGATATCAACTATAACTTACAAAATCAACATCACAATTTATGCTTAACTTTATGGTCTCTAGTCTCATCAAAGAAGAATAACCAAACAAATACCAAATGTATCTCTTGAAGATAATTCTTATACACCGAACCCTCCCAACTTCTATCATGGAATCCATTTTATATAATTTATTTCTACAATATTATATCAACATCTTTTCCGAGCACTAAAAATGTCATCATTAATAATCGGTGATAAACTACTCTTTTGAACTTTCTCCCATATATATAAGATTTTGAAATATAATAATATATAATGTATTAAATTTAAGTCAAATTATTTTAGTAAAATCTTATAATTTTTAGTTGATCTAGAATCAAGACAACAAGAAATTCGGAAAGCCACCGCCTAACCAACATCCCAAAAATAATTATAAATGAGTTAAAAATAAGTGTTAAGCTTTTTAGTTTTTATATTTCTCTCTATTTCTCAAATATGTATAATCCACCTACTCAGATCATGCTCTAAAAATCCCATTTTTTGTTTTGCCACGTGACCTCCATGTGCGTTTCCCGGCGTGGGTCCCTCGCCCCAGCTTCTTGTTCCTGCAGAACTGAGAAGACGCAGAGTGGGTCCACTTTTTCCGTGGCTCACAGTCGCGGTCAGGCTCGGTGAAGCCATTTTTTGGTTGCAAGTAATTTAGTCTGTAAAGAAACATTTTGCATCTTAAGCGTTCAAAATATTAAAAAAAACAAAAAATTCCTTTCTTTCTTTTATGCAACCATCCCCATATTATTTCTGTGTCCTTTGTCGCAGAAGCAGAGCATCAGACTTGATCTCACTCTCTCTCTCTTCCCTCAAAGTGCAGAGAAGCCACAGATCTTAGAGAGGCATTTCTAAAACCGCTGGCTTTGCGATCAGAAGAGGTAAGGTTGGCTGTTTTCTCCGGGGTGGCTGTCGTGTCAGCTGATAAAGCTCGTTCTCGTTTTTATTTATGGGTTTTATGATCTAGCGAGAAAATGCTTCTATTTTCCTGGCTCTTTGGAGATTAAGGAGGTCTTTGCTTCGGTAAAGTTGAGATTTTTGAAGCTTGGATTTATAATATATTAGATATTTATTCAATGCCTCTTCTCTGTTGTTTCCTTGGGGAAGATTGCGCTGTTATTGACTTCTTCTGGGTTTTACCGGTGCTATTGCTTGGTTTGGTATGGTAAATTTGCGTTCTTTAACTCATTCACTTGTGGGCGTTGAATTGAAGAATTTGCTGGATCTCTTTCAAAGTTTTTTCTTCTGCGGTAGATTTGTTGGTTATGGAGTTGAAATGTGAAGTTTAGCTTTTGATATTTATAAATTTTTTTTTCTTTTCGTTTGAAATTTAGCGCTCGACCTTGGTAACTTGCTGTACATCAGCTGTTTTTTAACCTATTTGCTAGCTTGCAGCGTTAAAAATGGTCGCTATCAGGAATTTATGGGGCGTTATAACTAGGTGTTGAATTGAAAACTCCGGCTTTGAATTGGTCAATTTGGGTTATTAATTGGTGGTAGTTTCCCATTAACCTAAAGCCCTAGGGTTTGTTGTGATCATTTGTGAGTAGGCTTTGTGAGATCCAGCATTATTATCTTTATCTCTGGCCTATTATTGTACTCAGATTTGCACATGGAGTATAATTATTATTATTATAATTATTAGACAAAATGTGGGGACAGCTTTTTCGGATCCATTCTACTTGTCTATTTTAGCATAGCATAGAGTTAGAATGTACGACTATATCAATGATATTTATTTGATTTGTTCATCTTTTTTATGGACTGTAATCAAGCGGTCTATCTTTTTTCCACTGATAGTTTAAGAACTTGCTTCCATAACCAGATATCAGAGCTTTTGCTCTGGCTCATTTGTGTCACACCCCGCCACCAGGCCTGGAAGAAAATCAATAGAACCCAATGGTAGGGTGCGAGCTAAGCAAAATTTATAAAATGATTTCAAAGCAATGAAACTATAAGGCTTCAATAATTCGTATCCACCAATAAATCATCATAACATCTAACCCAAACATATACTAATATGTCCACCAAACATAAATAAAATTCCATTTCATAATTAAATCCATTAAATAATTCTAACCTTAATTTCCTATCATATATAAACCTGATGCAAGAACATAGAAATTCCTCCAGAAACAACCTGGAAAATTTGAAATAATAGGTGTGAGTTTGCAAGAACAAACTCAGTAGATAAAAGCCCTACCAAGTCAAACATAAACGGCAAGGCATGGGGCATAAATATGAGCGAAGAGAGAAAATATAAGTGGAAAATAAACACTGAAATACAACAACTAAAATTAATGTTTAAGATAGGAGATTTTTAAATATACATGTTTCATTAATTAAAGCTTCTTATATAGCAAAACTCACAAAGAATTAATTGTTCAAACTAATAATCATTGTATTCAAATGCAGATACATTCACTTACAAGCATTTGATATTTATACATCCACCAATAACTCATTAGTCATTATTATTTTTCTCTTTGTATCAATATATACATATATTCATAGTCTGTTTACTACAACACCCTTCTGTGAAAGATAAACACCAATCCTAAGGAAACCTAGTGATTTTCTATAGAGTCATTACTCTTGGAGCCCGTCGGCCCCGGCTTGCCAATAACCAATAGGATCTTATACCGACATTTATAAGCATCGAATGCACAAGATTGAGTGTTATATATATATATATATATATATTGCAATAATAATACTTAACAATGGTTCTAACACCATTAAGCTTAGTTATATTTTATTACATAATTCATGATTTGAATGAGCAATAGTTATTCACAATAGTCAAAATAAAGTATATGAACTATTGAGAAAATTATGCAGCAATAAATATGACAATATTAACTATCAGATCATATTAGAATGGTAACTTAAAATATTATAAATGAATTAGCACATATGTCAGGTATTATTAACATACAATAAGTAGCAAGGGATGAATCCCTAAAAAGGAAGGGTATGTTTATCTCTTACTCAGTAAAGAGTTACCTACCAAATGAAATCACAAATAGCCAAACATTTCGATCTTGATGTCAATCCTTCTCGCTTCAACATGTAGTGCTCCATAATCCTAGATTCAAAAGAATCTAAATCACTTAGATACTTAAATACATTACACAATAATTATTCGCAACCAAAATAATTAAGCAAATCATATTCAATAAATTAATTATTTTCATAGAATAGGTTTATTATAATGCTTTGAGGTTTTACCATTCTAGACATACCCCTAACCATTTGCCACAACAAATCAAAGCTATAGGATTTGTTTATATAATAATAATAATAATAATAATAATAATAATAATAATAATAATAATAAAATCAACCTAAAATCAAATGCCATTAATCTCTCAATTTAGTTGCTAAAACAAATTCACAAAACATCAGAAAGATATATTTTATGCATGATTCAACTCAAGGACCTCTCAAAATTATGTTTGATTTGGAAAAAAAAACTAACATTTATCCACCTAGAAGGATCTACAATTTTTTATTTTTATTTTTTATTTTTTTTTACCTAGAAGGATCTACAAAAGCATAGAGAAAAAACTGGCATTAGGGTTTACCTAAATCAAAATTTGATGAAGAAGATGATGGTGCAAAAAGAGGAAAAAGGATGATGTATTCTTGCTTCTTTCCATTGTTTTCCTTCACTCTGCCTCCAGCCCTATAGTGCTTGATGGAAAACTTGAGGAAATTATTGTTTCCATTGGAGCTTCTTGTCTCCCCTCCTTGCCCTTACGACTTGGATAGACAAAGTCACTGATTAGCAAAGCTATCATACTGGGAAGCCTTCAAGCACAACCATGGCCATTCGTCTCCATTGCTAGCACATCGCGAGCTATAGGAGGCCGACGTCGATTAACACTTCCTCGATTTCCCGCTCACCAGTTGCCTCACGACCTCTTCTCTTTCTATTTCTTGCCACACCCCTTCTCTCCCTCTCGCTGTGATGCCCTAAGTTCGATTCATCTCTTAAAGGAATGGGGTTGCTTAATAGGATTTAGGCAACGTGAACCGGTTTACTTGACCCGGTTTGGTTCACTCCGTCGATTTCAGGTTATTACAATTTGTAGGAAGATTTTGTGCTTAATCAATCTTCCGGAGCACGCAGTATTACAAGGTTTTGTTGGTTTTTCTGATGGCGTGAATTTGACAAGCAATTTTTTTATTAGACTTCGTACAGTAGCTTCACTTGCTGACATGTCATTTATTCAGGTTCCTTAGAGATTTAGATGGCCATCACAGATATTCGAAATCAGCTACTTGGTGAAACCACCTGTGGTTCATTACTTCAGCAATTGCAGGTAATGTTAATGCATTTGAAGTAGTTTTGGTGACAATTATCGAAGTTAATGACTATGAATTGAGCTACTTATTTAGTATTAACTTATATTTCAGCATATCTGGGATGAGGTTGGCGAGAGTGATGAAGAACGTGATAAAATGCTGCTTCAAATAGATCATGAGTGTGCATTTCTCTTATGTCTTGCAACCAGATGCGGTACTCAGAATACTCTACAAAGCCACCAGAAGAACCCTCACATGCTACGGCCTAACTCTCTCAAAACCGTGTATACTCCTCCTATGAAAGTAGAATATATACATATATATATATATATATATATATGTAATTGTAAGGGAAGTGTGGTTTATTATGATATTTCCACCCGCTTTGTTGCATTATTTGTTTTTGTCTTAAAAAACTTGACATCTTATGAGGTAGCATTTAAATCTCTTTGGAATTAGCACAGTAAACTCAATACATAATGCATTAGTGCAGGGAAAGAATACACAGAGACTTTGTGAGGTTCCTATATTACTCTAATGTCTTCCAATAATGTGGGATTCTTAATTCAATTAATTTTTTGTTTGAGCCTTGAGGGATAACAAAGTTCCTTGTAATCATTGCACAAGGCTTACTATGCATATTCTATAAGGAATTAACACCTAAGTTTTATGTGAAGTGCCTGCTAGGATTGATTAAAATGAATAGACAAAGTAATAATAAAGAGACCAAGCATCAAAAGACGCCAAGATCATGTGTTTCGGTGAAATAATAGTTTGCATCTATGAGAGAGGAGAAAGAGCCTAATCAACTATAAGAGACCTAGGTGTACAAAAAAATAGGGCACTAAAAAAGCCTTTCCTCAGACCTAAGTGCTACTACTCTCAGCATGAAAGGGAAGTCCCTAATCTCTCAAGCTAAAGAAAAACGAGAATAACAAAAGAGAGATGATGAACATAGCATATTAGCTAGTACCAAAAAAATTACCCACTTAAACTTCCCGCTTGTTAATAAATTTGTCACAAATTTCCTAACATAATTGTGCTCTCACTAGATCAAGTTCTTCACGATCACAGTGTGTGTATATATATATAATTTCTTTTTTCTCTCTCTATTCTTTTTCTCACTCTTATTCACTCTTCTTTTTCACTTCTTTAATTCTTCTCTTCATATACGGCCAACTCCAAAGTTCGCATTTGCTAGCGTGTATTGAATATTTGATGCTTTGTAGATTTCCTGGGATAATAAAGAGGTGGTTTTAAAATCTAAATCAATTTAAATTTTGACTTAAAATCATACAAAATAAATGACTTTCTAAAAAAAATTTACAAGTGTGATTTTATCCAAAATTGAAGGGTTAAATTTTTTAATCCAAAATAATATAGTTTCTTTTTTTTTAATCATAACAAATTATTGAATAAACATCCTTTCAAATTTCTATATTGACTTAATAATATGGCAACAAATTTTAGATATTCTCTATGGCTCATCTCTAAATTGAGCTCCTCAACCATCCAAAGCATTGAAGGGCTAAGCACCGTGCCATTTCATGAAGCCTAAATGATGCCTAAACTTAGCAGGGAACTCTTAAGTACATTTGTTTATATAATAGTTATCCATTGTTATAGAAAATGTTCCTATTACTTGATCTTTGTACCCCTAAAGTGGCTTTCATCTCACTTAAAATGTTGGAATGCTACACCACGCTAATGGTACAAACTATGCTACACGTGCTCAAAGTTCTTGATCATCTGCAAAAGTCTTCCCCTCAAGTTTTGCTCTCCTTTGATCTCCAAAAGGCTTCCCCATAGTTTTGACAATCTCTTTTAGTATGCTCATTTTTTTTTTTTTGCAATATACGCAAGTCACATCCATATCATTTGTTAGACTTGTTTTTGCCACGATTAGAGTTAGAATTCTTTCCTAAGTTCTCTTCATAACCAACAATCCATTTGTCAGCTTCTCATATTTAATGCCCTCAAGCTTAGCATTAAATCCTTGAAAATAAGTGAATTTTTAACATTTTTTAAGTTAATTATAGCTCTACGATTTAACATAGTATCATGAAAATGCTTATAAGGGAAATGAAGAGCACAATCGAAGTTTGAAACTCTTTGAGCTATCAAAATTCTTATTATCATATTTCATGCTCATCATTTTTTACATTAACATCTGATATCAATTACCAAGAAAACACCTATATGTAAAATTGCTAAAAAAAAGACCGAGCAAATACATAAACAAATATAATGAGTACATGAAGTAATAATAGACTTAGCACCAAAAAAAATCAAAGATTTATGTAGTTATGCTAAAAAAATAACTTACATCCACAAAAAAGAGGATTTGATTTGTTATACAGAAGCACACTAGTGCACAAATAAAAGGGAACTAAAAAACACGTTTCTGTAAAGATTAGTGCAGACAATCACATCGAAGTAAAGAAGCCTCAAATATTTCAGCCAAACAACAAAAAGATTATGGAACATACAAAATTTTTTGTATGTCAACGCTGTTAATATTGTTTGTGTGCTTGTAAGTTTTTGTTATTGGATTTCATTTCGTCCATGAATTAAATATGTCTATTGCGATGTTCCAATTCTAATGGGTGCACTTGGTACCTCTTTTTTTAAAAAAGTGTCAATTTAGCAAAAGGTCCACGTTACTGCGTTATATTGAATGCGTCTGACATTCTACCTTGGCTTTTACCAGCCAGAGAAGTCAACTGGCACAATTAAGGAACAACTAGCAGCTATAGCTCCAGCATTAGAACAATTATGCAAACAGAAAGAGGATAGAGTCAAAGAGTTTGCAGATGTGCAGTCACAGATTCAAACTACATGTGCAGAAATAGCTGGCAATCTCAGGGTAGGCGAAAAGGTAGGAATGCCAGTGGTTGATGAGAATGATTTGTCACTGAGAAAATTGGATGAGTTTCAATGTCATTTACAGGAACTTCAGAAAGAAAAGGTACTAATTTTTATGAGAATGGTTGGCTTTTTCTATCTTGATACTAGTAATTACTCTTTAACATCCATAATTTCTTTTTGACAGAGTGATAGATTGCGTAAGGTTCTTGACTTCGTAAGTTCTGTGCATGATCTTTGTGCTGTCTTGGGAATGGATTTCTTTAGTACTATAACTGAAGTGCATCCTACCCTGGAGGATTCTATTGGCGTGCAATCTAAGAGTATAAGCAATGATACTTTGTCAAATCTTGCTAAGACAGTTGCAGCACTCGAAGAAGATAAGAAGAAAAGATTGCAGAAGGTGCATATCATTAATTCTTAGATTCCTCATAGTTGTAATTTGAAATTGTACACAGTTTTGTTTATCTATTGCTAGACTTGCTTTCAATGAAAACTGCATGGTGGGTTTTTGAAATGATTTCCCCAAGAAATTGCAGTGTTTTGCAATCTCTCTCTCTCTCTCTCTCTCATATATATATATATATCATCCTACAAATTATTATTGCAATCTATTCAAAATCCCACAGAACTCCTAATGCACCTATTTCAGTGCCACCGTTCTGCCTGGTTAATTTCATCATAAAATACCCTTAAAGTTATGAATGTTCTCTTTAACCCCTCCGCTTTTAATCCTCTTTTTGATTTACAAATAAAATGTGTCTTTGTAATTCATTGCAAACCCTAAATTGTATTCTTAAAAGCCTTTAAGGGCTTGTTAGGCCGGACTAATGCTTTTCTTCTATTCTAGAGAGCCTTATAAAAGCTGCTTCATAAGCCACTACTTTTATTCTGTTGTTCAGCTTATTTACTTGAAGAGAAGCAGCTCATCCTGCAGCAAAGCATGCAAAATAATGAAGCTTTTATGCATGAAAATAATATAACAGAGCTGCTCTTCCATTTCAACTGAATTGGGATAGGATCATTGTGTATGCCCGCCCTTTTTTATTGTTATTCAAATATGCAGCCTCCCAGCATGAAATCTGTTGTTCCAAGTATTATTGTACATGATGGTTTTATTTGATATATTCAAAATGTTGTTAGAGTTATTAGAATATTATGTTACCTTATTAAAATTATTTTGTTACCATATCTGCATTATCACGTATGCCTAATATTTATTAGGAATCTATAGTATTTATTATATTAATACTTTGTTTAAAATTGCACAATATGAGGCTTGCCTTGAGGCCCGCCTCAGCGTAATTCTAGTGAAAAATGCCTTGAGGCTTACGCTTCTAGCTTTTTTATGAGGCTTGCGCCTCAACTTGGCTGAGACCCGCCTTGAGGCACGCCTCGCCTCGCTAGCATGAGGCTTACGCCTCACCCTATTTATAATTATTTTTGTTAAAATAATATAAATCACGTATTTATGCACATTCGAGCGCAACAACTTTCTCTCGATTGCCTCTACATTCAGCTCGCGGCTTTTGCCGCAGCCAACACCGTTGTAGCCGTCACAGACAATCACTTGAAAGATGAACTCCACCATTCTAAAAATTTTGGGGCATTACTCTCATGTTTATGTTGATGAAAATATTTCTAAAAGATGAACATGATTAAAATAAGTTAAAAAAAGCATATTGGGAGGCATTCGACTCTACTAAAAGAGGCACGGTATAGACTAATTTGTTATGGCGGCAACTAAGATAAATACCACCTTAGTAACGGCCGTGCAGATGATTCTTAAATTGTTGTCAACTATTTTAACTTTCATTAGGAATTAAATATAAATGAGTAGAGAACTGAGAAATAAGAAATTTAGAGTTGAACTTGATATTATATGATACTTTTATGCAATTTTTATATTTATTATTGAATTCAATAAGAAGTTAATATGTCATCATTTAACATATTATTTAGGTATGATATAAAAAATCACTTTTGAAATTTATTATCACTTTACGCAATTTTTGATTTTGAGGCTTACGCCTCAAAACACCTTGAGGCTTACGCCTCTCCTCATGAATAAAAAATGCCTCAATACCCAATTGCGCAATTTTAAACATTGTATTAATATATTGTTATTGATGACATTCTTTTTTTTTATTGATGACATTCTACTTTATTATACTTCTTGCTCTCTTCTCTTACCTTTATATAGACATATTTTTACTAACATAATACTAAAAAAAGCAAAGATGTAGTCTTGTATAATTTCTATTGTAGTATTGAAGCCAAGCTTGTCTCAAATTACCCATGAAGATCCCATTTGATCAAGCCTCGTCTTGACTGATGCCGGAGCTGAGCCGTTAATTATATTAACTTCAGGATAGTGTCATTCCGTTTGGTAGCTTATATGGCTACATAGGATTAGTACTTGCTTTTATTGTATGTAGCCTATTATGCTACTTTCTTTTGGCTATAAATAGGTAGCCAATGTTTATAATAGGGGAGATTTGGAGATGAATAAAATTAGAGTTTTACTCTCTTGTGAATTTCTATATCCTAAGATTGTTCTTAGGTGGTGGTTCTTGCTCCAAGAAGGAGTTCTTGGAGTGATGTCCGGTGACCGCCACCGGATCGTCGACGTGGATTCGTCGAGACCCCTCCGGTCCGATGTCATTTAGTATCAGAGCTGGCAAGATGCTGACGTCACCGACGACAGCTCCTTGATGTTGTCGGCGTCCACAATCCTCATCACTTGCCAACAGTTAACCGCAGCAACCTGTTGTTTTTCTTCTACTCTTCAAGAACCTACCAAATCTGATCTCGCCTGGGATAGAACTATGTGGAGGAAATTCTTGAACGTCGCTCAAATCTTCACGGGAAGAGATCTCTTGAGTACAAAAACTCTCAAAAATAGAGAAATAACTTGTTTTCTTCCAAAATAAAATGCTGCTTCTTGCTCTTGGCGAAGGAGTTCCATTCGATTCTTGTGCACACAAGAAAACCACCAAAGCCAATTTGCCACTGAAGCGGATTCGCCACCAAAGAGCAGGATGGGATGAATGAGACGCCTAGCTGAACTCGTCGGACCTTGGACGGCCTCCGACTTGGCTTCTTCCTACACTGGGATCTAGAGACTGCTAGACTCTGTCTCACCACCTAGAAATATAAACCAGGATACAGAAAATAGAGGAGACTCCAAGAAACCGGAGATTAACAGCTTTTCTGGTTGCTGTCTTGAAGTCCACCGGATCTTGCTGTTCGAATCAATTTTAGAAGGTATAACATGGCTACAGGCCTGCCCTTCTTGACTGCTGGAAGGAGAAAGAAACCGCCCACTTAGGTAGAGATCGGAAGATGGAAGAGAAAGCTAATCGGTTCAGCCCTTGGCGTGACAATCTGCTTGTAATGAAGAAAGAACAATGGAGTAGAAGAAAAACAGTCAATAACATCTTGTTTGTCGAGGAGGCATCTTGCTTCTAATCTTCAAGAATCTACTCAAGACAGTCAAGAACATCTGCAGAACTCATGCGGTGGGAGACGTTCGTTAGACTGGAGAAACTGGTGCCTGAAGATACGAGTCTGGTGGCTGTAAAGGAGGATCTAGCGGACAAATTCTTGGCACTTCTTGCTCTTCTTGATGTCTTGCTGCTATGGCCCGCACAACACCAGTTCGCAGTCAACACGTTTTTGCTCAGCCACGTCTGATCAAGAACCACCTGTCGGTTATTCTCCTCGGAGCCACGTCGACCAAGCCCCGTCCGAAGCCTTCTTTGTCGTCGCCTAGGTGCTCCTCTGACTCACCCGACCCGATTGGCCCCGTATACGACGGTCTTGTCGCCTTTGGCCTGCTTCAGCTCGCGGATAACTTCCGCGTTCTTGCCTTCACGTGAAGGTGCTGACGTTGCCCACAAAATGGCACCTCTCCCAAGAACAGAGATCAATCCCACGTACGTTCCCTCTTCTTGATAACTGATGTGTTTGGAAGGATGTGAAAACCAGAACAACATAAGGTTGGAATATTTTTTTTGGGTGGCCGAAACTGTTGTTTTTGATGTCTTCTTCTTGCTTCCCTTTAGCTTTCTTTCTTCTACTGGTGTCGATTAACCACCAAAGCTGTTTCACCACCAAAGACGGGTCGCCACAAAAAGTCTTCGGCTGCAGAGGCGATATGGAAACGGACAAGAACGCCAGCAACTTGCCAACTCTGATACCAAAATGACATCGAACTGGAGGGGGCTCAACGAATCCACGTCGAAGATCCGGTGGCGGTCGCCGGACAGCTCCAAGAACTTTCTTGGAGCAAGAACCACCACCTAAGAACAATCTTAGGATACATAAATTCACAAGAGAGTAAAACTATAATTTTATTAATCTCCAAATCTCCCCTATTACAAACATTGGCTACCTATTTATAGCCAAAAGGAAGTAGCATAATAGGCTACATACAATAAAAGCAAGTACTAATCCTATGTAGCCATATAAGCTACCAAACGGAATGACACTATCGTGAAGTTAATACAATTAACGGCTCAGCTCCGGCGTCATTGACCTCACTCGATGGAGTGATTTGTCTTCGTCTTCTATTTTGAAACTTCTTGGAGGATTCCATGAAGATCATGTGAGGATCTTATGAAGATCCTATCTCTTGTTTTCTGTCACCTGTAGTCTCGGCAATGATTGGCCCCGCGCCAATCTCTCAACTGTTCTTGATTTCTGTAAAAAGGTGCTGCTCTAGTTCAGATCAGCTCCGACCAACAATTTTGAAAAGTTATTCAACTTTGTTTGAATCTAACGTTTCCTCTTGCACCCTGCAAATTCTTAATGCTCCTTGCTATAGCATCCTCAGTTTGGGTGGAGGGGGTGTTAGATTTATTAGAATATTATATTAACATATTATAATTATTGAATTATCATATTAATATTATAACCTGTGCTTATTATTTATTAGGAATACATAGTATTTATTATTTTAAAATATTCTTATTATTGAGGATATTTTTCTTTAGGGAAATTTACATACATACCATTTAATACCATCCTATTTACATATCTAATACCTAAAATTTTAATATTACATACATACCACCCTATATTATTTTAATATCAAATATACCACTCATATTTCTTTCCTACCACTCATATATTTCATTTCTACCACTTATATTTGATATGAAAATGAACTATAGGTTGTATGTATGTAATATTAAAGTTTTAAGTGTTAAATATGTAAATAAAGTAGTATAAAGTGGTATGTATGTAAATCTCCTTTTTCTTTATTATATTTTTCTTATTTTATTCTCTTGCCTTTATATATGTATATTTGTTCTAACATTATAATCAATCAAGGATGTGGCCTTTTATGCTTTCTGTTAAATACATAATAAGAGAAAAATAATTTTTAATGTTTAAGTTTGAATATCGATCCTTATGTTTGCATAATTTGCAATTATGTCTGATATGTCATCAAAAAATTATCTTGATCAGACACGAATCTCGAGGCGAAAATCAAGTTGGAAACTTCAAAAATTAAATCCGGGATCACCTGAACTCTGATTTCAGTAAACTTACAGTCAAACAGAGCGTCTCGGAAATACGAACCCAACGACACCAAATTCAACTCAATCCAAGCTCAAATGAGCCCAAATCAAGCACCCAAAGTGCTGTTGGAAAGTTCATACCGCAATTTGAGTTACCAAACGGTCTCCGATTTTAACGAGCTTATAATCGAATCGAATGGCTCGATGAGACGAATCCAACGAGCCCAAGATCGCCAAATTCCGACATCATTAAGACCTTCAAATGTCTGACGAACGATGCACGATCAAGGGATTCAATATCAACCATCCATTCGACCACTCCCTATTTGCCCTTGATCTCACATCTATTTACAAGCTTATGCCACTTCAAAAAATCTATAAATAGACATCTCATTTCTCATGAGATGGGGCCCAAGCAAGAAGAAGGAAGGAAGAAAGAAGAAGAGGAGAAGAGAAGAATAGGAGGAAAGAGACTCCTCCTCGACCACCGCAGGAGTTTTGCCCGAACTCCAAATGACGCCGGAATTCTGCCCGACGCCAGAGTTCAGCTCAACGTTTAAGCAACGCCAGAATTCTGCCCAACATCCACGGGATGTTGAAATTCTGCCCAAGTAACGACAGAGTTTCTCCCTGACGCCGAAACTCAACCCAAGTGATACCGGAGTTCTCCTCGGCCACCAACAGACGTCGGACTTCTACCCGACGCCGGACCTTCACTCATCGCCAAGTTTCTACCCAACGCCAGACTTCTACTGGTTATCGGACTTTCGCTGGACGTCTATCCGAAGATGGATTCCTTTTCATTGTTGGACTTCTATCTGACGCCGTCCTTCTGACCTTCGTCGTCAGATAACAGTTCTTACGACCTCCGTCGCCAGCCGACTACGGTCCTCTTTACTTACGTCGCCCGCATACTACAGTCTTTCCGACATTCATCGCCTGTCGACTACGGTCCTCCTAACTTACGTCGCCCGCCGACTACAGTCTTTCCGACCTCCGTCGCCCGCCGACTACGGTCCTTCTGACTTACGTCGCCTACCGACTACAGTCCTTCCGACCTTCGTCGCCAGCCGACTACGGTCCTCCTGACTTACGTCGTCCACAGACTACAGTCTTTCCGACCTCCGTCGCCCGCCGACTACGGTCCTTCTGACTTATGTCGCCTACCGACTACAGTCTTTCCGACCTCCGTCGCCAGCCGACTACTGTCCTCCTGACTTACGTCGTCCACAGACTACAGTTTTTCCGACCTTCGTCGCCAGACAACGGTCTTTATGACCTCCGTTGCCCGCGGACTACGATTCTTCTGACCTCCGTCAACAGACTATGGTCCTCCCGATCAAACGAACATGTCAACAGTGACTCTTTGTATTTCCAACATGTAATGTACTTCATATAATGTACATCAAGCCCAGGCCTTCCCCCAAGGAAGGGCCTCATTTGTAATCGACTACAATACTAGTGGATTCATTCAAACTGGGCTAAGCCCTGTTGTTTTTCCCCCTTTTTAGGGGTTTTCCACGTAAAAATATTGGTGTCTCCTATGAGTGCTACACACTCACTCATCTGATTGGGCGCCGGATTTTCGTACAACGCTAAGACATTAAATATGATATTTCTCTACCGCCGCGAATACTCCTGGACGCAACAATGTCTATCATTTTTTTGAAAGCAACGCAGTTGGTCACCCATTTCATCTAATCATCAAGTAGGCCATTATGATTTCAAAAAAAAAATTCTTTTTTTTTTTTAAATTTTATTTGATATCGCAATGCTTTTGCTTCTCTCTTGAGTTTTACTTTTCATTTAATTTCCTTATTTCTAAGTGTAAAAATTGTGGTTTTTCTGTCCCAAATGACTTGCGTACCTGGTGAAAAAGTTAAACTTTGAAGGTTTAACAAATTATGGATTTTAATTCAATTATTATTAAAAATGAGGTATTTATTTGCAAGATTCTCAGATTTTTTTCATAATTTATATGAGAAAGGTACAATGAAATATTGGATAAGTAATATGCATGGATTATTTTAGGAACCACTCTCAGGAATGTTTTTGCTTGAAGACATTTTTTATGTGTTTTCAAGGTGTAGATTGATTGAGTGCCTCTCTTTCTTCATAAATTAATGAAACTTTCTATTTTGCAGTTGCAAGAGCTAGCAACCCAACTATATGACCTTTGGAATCTAATGGATACCCCGGTCGAAGAACGAAGTCTTTTTGATCATGTTACTTGTAATATGTCTGCTACGGTCGATGAAGTCACTGTTCCTGGATCTCTTGCGCTTGACCTGATTGAACAGGTTAGCAGTATCTGCTAGCTTTCACGGCATTGTATCTGAATTATTAGCATAAATAACATGAACAGATTAATTTATTCATTCTATGCATCTTCGTATATTTAGGCTGAAGTTGAAGTTGAAAGGCTGGACCAGTTGAAGGCTAGCAAGATGAAGGAAATAGCTCTCAAAAAACAAAGAGAGCTAGAAGACATATATGCTGTTGCACACATTGAAATAGATTCAGAGGTTGCTCAGGAGAAGATAATGGCTCTTATTGTTTCTGCAAACATTGAACCCTCAGAGTTGCTAGCTAACATGGACAATCAGATATCAAAAGCCAAAGAGGAGGCACTGAGCAGAAAGGAAATATTGGATAAGGTTGACAAATGGATGTCAGCTTGTGAAGAAGAGAGCTGGCTTGAAGACTACAATAGGGTAAAGTCTTATAGTCTTTCTATTGCATTCGTTTACATGAGGTTTTTTTTTTTTGTTTTTTTGGTGAGTTGAGCTTATGGGAAGCAAGTTCTGTATTTTTGTTGTATTGGTTTGTCTTCAGGGAGCTAAATACGAACAAGCTCAATGAAAGGGTCGCCTCACCTAGTAATTTTTACATGTATCTGGGAGCCATACAAATTATCAAATCTAATACAGGTTGTATTTGTTTAGGATGAGAATAGGTATAATTCAAGCAGAGGTGCTCATTTGAACCTCAAACGTGCTGAAAAAGCTCGCATATTGGTCAACAAAATTCCAGGTGATTTTTTAGTTTCGTACTTTAGATCTTTTTTGTCTAATGTTTTTGTTATTTTTCCTGTAAGACTGCATCAACTGTCACAAGTTCTCATAGAGTGAATGCCACGGTTGTTCATCCATTCAAGCTATAGATTAAATGTCTGGGTGTCAATTTCGGGTCACGGGTCGAAATCGGGTCAAATCCGGAAAACCCGGAATTGATCTGGCACTATTCTGGTCAACCCAAACCCAACCCGCTTTGGGTCCAGGTCAACCCAACACAACCCGAATGATCGGGGCCGACCATAAATTGCTAGTTTTTTGGTCAAAAAATAGGTCAATCTCCGATTTTTGTGTAAATAAAAATAGGTCAATCTCCAATTTTTTTGTAAACAAACTGGTCAATCTCGGGTTTTTGAGTTAAAAATGGGTTTTCGGATAAAAATGGGTCAATTTTAGGTTTCTGAGTCAACCAAATCCAACCCAGTTTCTGAAACGGGTCGATTTGTTGAACCCGAACCCGACCCGAAACGGTCGGATTTTTGGATCGTGTCAAATATTGACACCCTTTATTTTGAATGAATGCTGCCAATAATTCGACTGATTTCATATAAGATATTGGTGTCAACTTAATTTCCTTATGGAATTATTGCCTGGAGTGCTGCCCGCATGGTGGTTATTCATGAATTTCTTCTGATAACAAAAGCTTATTCACTTCTTAAGCCTTTTAGTAGTTTATGCTTCTTTAACTTCCTCATTGGGTATTAATCCTCCAAACGCTTGGTCAACCAAGATTATGCATAGCAGCTTCGACGACCAACATTTATATGCAATCAAGGCTTCTTTTGAGTAGTTTCTTTGACCAAGAATGTTGGCGACTAAGCTTTTATGCACAATTTTAGTTGATCAACAATATCTGTCAATGCTTGTATCAAATTAAATTTCTAACCTGGAAATGTTTTCTCAGCTCTTGTTGACACACTAGTCGCCAAGACTCGGGCTTGGGAAGAGAGCCGTGGAATGTCATTCACTTATGATGGTGTTCCTCTTCTCGCCATGCTTGATGAATATGCAATACTCAGGCAGGAAAGAGAAGAAGAGAAACGAAGAATGCGGGTAATCTCAGACTTTCCTATTACCCTTCGCCAAATTCTAGCCTATGTGTTACGGAATTCACGCCACTTAGATTCAATCTTTGTCATTCCAGGGTCTAGTAATTTAACTTAGTTGCTCCCAATGGCGGAACTGTGTAGTTGTGAGGGGTGCGGGGGGAGCAATTGCCCCCTAAAAAAATTAAAACTCTTAATAGACTTAGTATAGGAAAGGTTATTTCTAATCTACCCACTTCGGGGGACAATTGCCCCTCTGAAAAAATTAAAACACTTAATATAGTAAGGGTTATTTGTGATCTACCCCCTCCCCCTCCCCAATTTTGTTTTTTTCCCCGGCCGACCTTTTTTCATGTAATTTGCCCATCAAAAAATCGGAAAATCTGTTGGTCTCCCGCTATTTTCATCCCATTATGTTGAACTTTTCTAACACTAGCAAACAAGTATGTGAAAAACGATTATATACAAAATAATTTATTTTTGCTCCTTTATATATATTTTTATTTTTTTAAATTTGCCACTCCCCCCCAAGAATTAAGGTTGGTTCCGCATCTGATTGCTCACATATAGGAGTATAAACGAGTTGAGCTTGGGTGTTCGGCCTTAAGCAAATAAGTCAAAAGTTTTTTTGTTTTTGTTTGCTTGTTAACTCATTAGGCAAAATATACGGTCATGAACATAAAGCTAACTTGAAAGTGATATAAATTATAAAATATTCATGTCGCTATGTGTATGTGTGTATATATATATATATATATGAGTACGAGTATACGCTATATACATTTTATAATATGTATATTTATATATGCACACATACATATTTATATGCTTATTTTAGTGTATATTTAAATATACTCAAGTTACTATGAAATCAAACACACTAAGACAAGGCTTTTTGGAATTTGGTTCATTAAATAAAAGAGATTATAAAAATGAGTCAAATTTAAGCTAATTATCTGAGTCAAACAAGAACAATAAGCTTTACCGACAGCTCTACTCATATACACTTCAAGCTTGCTTTATAAAAGATTTGAAGAACACATTGCATGAAAGCTAAGGGAAGATTTGTATGCATTAGTCACTGAGAACAACCTTATTCTAAACTTTATAGGACCAGAAGAAGTTCCAAGAACAGTACGGCACAGATCAAGAAACTGCTTTCGGGTCCAGAATTAGCCCAGGTCGAATCGCTGGTTCGAAGAAGGCGGTCACGCCTCGTGCCAATGGTGGTGCTTCAAATGGAACTCCAAATTTGAATCGAAGGCTATCCTTAAATCAGGGAGTAAACAACAATGGTGTGAGATCTGGAAGCAAGGATGGCAGAAGGGAGAGTGCTCGGCCTTCAGCTCCGGTGAACTATGTTGCCATCTCCAAAGAGGATGCAGCTTCTCTAGTCTCTAGTTGTGATCCAGCTCCAGTTTCACCATGACCTTTTTTTCTTTTTTTTTGCTTGTAGAATGTATGATGTGGAGCTATTTTATGTAAGGATAAGGTGTGTTATTACTGGAGTCTTCTTATAGACTAGGTTAAGGTAGTGCTTAATCTGACAAACTGTACTAATGAAGTTGTTTTGACTGTTACCCGACCTCATATTTATACATAATGCAGTTATGATTATTGTTCCAGGTGGAGGTGATTGCTATTGCTTTTCATCTTGAAGCGCACCTGCAAGTGATTTTTTTTTTTATGATTTAAGAAGCAGTAAGAAAGCTGTCCCAAATGAAGCTTTAGGTTGGGACGGCTTTCTTATTACTTCTTAAAGCAGCATTCTAATACAAAAAATTAATTTTGATATTAAAAAGTTGGTTTAAGAAGCAATAAGAAAGTTGTTCCAAATGAAGTCTTAATAGAACCAATTACTGAATTAAGAGAAAATCTATTAACTGCTAAGTCAAAATGATCAACATGAGGATTTCCAAAGGCAAAGAAATATTATTAGAATCCTTAACAACTAATTCGCCAAAGTAAATATGAGTTTTTATGTAAGTAGTGTGATCATGCCCCATGAAAAGCTAATACAAGGTAGCTTGCATAATAAAAGGCTTCTCTCTATCTCCAATAATAACATTATAAGATGGATAGGAGTGACCAACAATGTTCAAATCACCCCAAAATCTTCGAAAAATTATTAGGTGCGGAGTACGCACCGTTCGCACAAGTATTGGGTACCCAGTGGTACCGAGTGTGAGTACCGCTAGGTACCTAATACTTGTGCGGACGGTTCTTCCCGTCCGCACTCCGCACCTAATAATCTCTTCACCAAGCAATGGTTAAGAAACTTCTAATAGGAGGTTACTAAAGACTCACCAGAGAAGAATGTTTAGTGATTTTGTCAGTAGTGATGATGTTGGATATATGTATAGAATTTAGTAAATCCTTCTGAAAATAGGATTTAAATGTTTTAAATATCTATTCTTCTCCTTCATTTAAAATTTAAAATTTTAAAATATATGTAAAATAGTTTAATAAGATTTAATTAAATTTAAAATATATTATGTCAAATAATTTTCTTAATATTCAATGCTTCATAAATTTACTAAATATGAATTTAAGAACTTTACAAAATCCTAATTGTGGTAAATCAGCCCCTTAGGGTTACATTTGGAACTCATGATGTTGCAAGTCTTATAAGTTGGCTTTGAGTTTGGTCCAATATGGTGAAGACTAAGGCTTCGTTTGGGACGGCTTTTTTACTGCTTTCTAAAACGGAGTGTTAGTACAAAATTTTTTATTTTTGTATTAAAACTCAGTTTTAGAAAGCAATAAAAAAGCCGTCCCAAACGAAGCCTAAGACAAAAACTTGGGTAAAATAAATGTTAGAATGTTGTATGTGATATATTTTATCATTGACACACACAAAAAATGAATTAAAATAATATATCTAAAATAATCAAATAAATTTGTGCATTTAACAATAAGAAGAGTATTTTTTACTCAATTTCAAATTTTACTTTGCCCCTAAATGTCTATGCGACTTTTACCTATCATAAGTGGTCGAAGGCTGGACGGAAGAAGAGGTCTCATGGGGCTAATCTTGCCAAACGTGTCATATTTGCTCTGAACCTTTTTTTCAAAGTATTCTAATCAATTTTTTTTTGTCATGATAAGGTTTAAAACTTTTAGATCTATTTTGAGATGAATACATAATAAATAATTTACATATTGCATTCAACTCAAAATGATCACAAGAAATTTTAGAACTACTAAGATTTTTTTATCAGGATATCAAGACACAATATTTTTTTCCTTTGCACCCCATCATTATCCATCATAGTTGTTAATTTGAAAAATCATCCACAAATATTTGAACTTCTAGCAATAAATCTTATAATTGACCTTTAAAACATAAGATAAAATGCATTATACTTGAAAGAGTTTTTTTTTTTTGCTTTCACGATGAACAGTTAAATTAAGGTTTCGTTTGGGATGATTTTTCATTTTTCTGTTGCTTCTTAAAACAGCTATCTAGTTTAAAAATTAAAATTTTTATAATAGAAAGCTGTTTTAAAAAACAGTAAAAAAGCCGTCCCAAACGAAGTCTAAGACTTCGTTTGGAACGGCTTTTTTATTGCTTTCTAAAACGGAGTTTTAATAAAAAATAAAAAAAATTTGTACTAAAACTCCGTTTTAAAAAACAGTAAAAAAAGTCGTAACTTTTTTATTGCAAAGTAGCTTTCTCTATTCATCCAGAAGGCATTATGGCCTTATATTTGCCCAATGATTATCAAAGGGGGAAAAAAACTACATTGGCTTAATCCTTTCAATTATCATGATAATTTGAGAGGTGCAATATAAATTCACTTTATTCGGAGCGGCTAGGATTTATTCCTTTAGTTTATTTTTTGAAAATCGTGCTGGCTTGTTGATGATTGCTGTGGTTTAAAGGACTAAATGGCTTAATCCTTTCAATTATCATGATAATTTGAGAGGTGCAATATAAATTCACTTTATTCGGAGCGGCTAGGATTTATTCCTTTAGTTTATTTTTTGAAAATCGTGCTGGCTTGTTGATGATTGCTGTGGTTTAAAGGTTTTTTTTAATATAATTTAAGGGCTTTTGGTAACAATTCAATTTTTATCTCTTATTTGCAATTTAATTAAATTATATCACACCTTAAATATAAATTATGTTTATTGTTATTAAATATCAAATAAATTAATTTGTATGCTTGCGACAGTATAATTTCCGATTGTGGCACAAGCAGTCGGTGGATAACACATAAATCTCACATAATTCAGAAAACATTTTGAAAGAAAAAGCATATATTATATAGAGATTTGGAGGTGTTGCGGGCTAAAAGATTCGTGGCGGTAGAGTTAGTAAATTTTTTGTCTTAGCGATGCACGGATATCCAGCACACAAACAGAAAAGAAGAAGTAAAACACCCAATATTTTTTACGTGGAAAGCCCGAAGAGGGAAAAACCACGGGGCCTCGCCCAAATGAAAATATTCCACTAAACTTTAGTGAATTACAAGGGTTGACCCGTCTATTGATTTAGAGGCGGTCGATCAGTGATTTGGAGAGCTAGTCAAAGGTCTGGCGACGGTCGTGCAGACATCCGACGGCGGTCGTCGGTGGCAGACGGTGGCCGGCCAAAGGTCTGGTGGCGGGCGGAGGCTGGGCGGTAGTCCGACGAAAGTCGGGTTGAAGTCTGGCGGCTGTCGTCGGCCGGGTGAAGGTCCGGCGGCGCTGGGCGAAGGTCCGGCGGCGGGCGGAGGCCGGGCGAAGGTCCGGCGGCGATCAGCGGCCGGGCAGTGGTGCTAGAGCTCTTGAAGCTTCAGAGCTCTCTCCAATCTCAAGCCAAAGATCCCCCTCATGTAGAGAGTGGGGGTCTATTTATAGATTTTCATAAGTGGCACACCCCGTTAATCTAGAAAAGATCCGGGGCAGGTTCGGAGTGATCCATCGGTTGGCTTGTATTGATTCCCCCGATCGTATGGAGTTTTTTAATTGTTTAAGTGACTTAACGACGTCGGAATTCAGAGATCTTGGCTCGTTGGATTTGTCTCGCCGAGATGCTCGATTTGACTATAAGCATGTCATATTTGGATATTATTTCATCATCCAAATAATGCTTTGATCCTTCCAAATATAGTCCGGGCCCCCGATTCAGACCCATTTGGGCTTGGGTTGGACCAATTTTGGTGATGTTTGGTTTGGCTCTTTGAGATGTTCAATTTGACTATAAGTTTGCTGAAATTGAAATTCAGATGATTTAATTTTGAAAGTTTCCAACTCGAATATGCCTCGAGATTCGTGCATGATTAAAGCAATTTTTTAGGACATATCAAGAGGGTTTATAATTTTTTTTTTTATCTTTGGTATAAGTGAGCTGAGCCGGTCATGAGCCGACTCAAATTCTACTCATTAATGAGCTCACGAGTAAAACTTATTTATCCATGAGTTCGTACTCGAGCCTATAGTCGCTCGAGCTTGAGCTCAACTAGGCTCAACTCGTACCCACTTGTTTAAATTAAATTATATTTAAAATATGATTTTAAAATAATATAATAAAATATATACTAAATATTTTTAATTATTTCACAAGTCAACCTCAAGCTTTCTTAAAAAGCTCAATTAAATGTGTCGGGCTCGAGCCTATTAATTTTTGAAACGGTCGAGCTCGAGCTCAGTAAACGAGCTTACTCAATTAGAATTAAAAAAAAAAAAAAGCTAACTTGATTAGATAACATCCCTATTTCAGCCTAAGCTCAAACAACATATTAAGGTGAAAAAACAAATAAAAAACGCCTTAAAAACATGTCAAAAGTACACATCTTGACTAGTATAACACTAAAACCCACGCAAGGGAAAACAAAAAAAAATAAATAAATGGCTTAGAGAAATCTATAAGATATATGTTATCTAATTGAAACCAGCACTAGTTCCAAGAGACCGGGGGGTCTCGATTGCTTCACCCAACAAGCCATTGCAACAGTCCAGGAATTGTGAAAGCCATTCCAGAGTAAAAATTATTCGTCGCTCCATGCAAGAGCTTTTATATTACGCCAACCAGAGGAATTGAACCATAAATTTTGCCGGCCATTACTCCAGAAAATTAGTTACAACCAGTTTTTCGGCTTTTTCCTGTCCGCCGGTCACAGTAAAGTAGAGAGGATTCAGAATTCCAATCTTGTAAAGTAGGGGGGAAGGTAGGCATCTTCTCTAGAAAAATTATTCTGTGCGGAATCCGGACGTAGCTCTACGTCCAAAATCCATTCCGTGATTGACACGTATTTTTTGAGTCAATTTATTTTATACAACAGTGTGGATTTTTCACTAACATGTGACCCGACGACCCGGCCCAGCTATTTTAGTTGGCACTCCCTTTTTTTTGAAAAACACCGCGACTGGTTCCCAAAATTTAGGGTTTTCATCGTATAAAACTTTCTCGTAAATCGTCACCAAAATTTTGGAGGAAACAACGAAGAAGATGGAGATTGCTTTGGATACCATTCAATTCTCTAATGAGATGATATGCTCACATGTAGGGCTACAATCGAACCAAACGTTTGACGAGCTACTCGTTGTTCGGTTTGATTAAAGCTCATTTGCGATCGTTTAATTAACTAAACAAACAAAATTGAACAATATTTTAAATGCTCGATTCTTAAATAAACAAACTTGAACACTAATGCGTTCGGCTCATTTATGTTCGCGAACAACATCATTTGAAGTTCGTGAACAAGCTCGACATTAAGCTCGATAAGAAGCTCGATTCGTTTTCGATTTTGAACTCGTGAATAAGCTCGATAAAAATAATTAATATTTGACTATAGAATTAATAAATATAAATAATCATTACCTTTGTTACATAAGCAATTGCTTTTATTATACATGTGTTTGTTCATAGATATGTTCATGAACGTGTTTGTTTGATAGTTAAAAAAATTTGTTAAATATGTTCGCGAACTTTTTTTTTTTTTATGACGAATGTCTCAAATAGAATAGACACGCGTAATAATGTTTTTTATTTTTCATTTTTGAAAGTTTTCGAAGTTCAGTTAGAAATATTGAAAGAGCATATGACATTTTTACTTAGATAAACGGTGCTTGATGATTTGTGTGGTGTCATTTTACTTTTCAATACATTATGCACATGTACATTGTTCGTGTTTTTTGTGATTTTTTTTGAAAATCTTCTGCTCCTCATACAACATGTGTATTAATTCTCTTGTACATATTGTGTACAATCTTATACGCAGTGTATACAAGCCTTACACATAGTGTACAAGATTGCACATAGTGTGTACAACAACCTTGTGCATGATGTGTACAGACTTGTACACACTTTACAATATTGTTGTTCAAACTATGTACAATATTGTACACACTGTGTATAAATTGTGCCTATAGAATTATTATAAAATGTTATACACACCCTTATGGAGTGTTTCTCTTAATATTTTTTGCATTACTCTATCATAGGGTGTGTATAAGTGTGAGGAGGCATACGAGATGTATTGTAGATATGCACATAATGCTGATTTTAGTATTCACAAGGAACATAACAGTTATAGACCAAATTCTAGAAAGATAAGATGTAAGAACTTTATTTATTCAAAATCTGGTTTCAAGAAAGGTCTAAATTTGAATTTACAAATGAAATATCCAAAATGAGATACCAAAAAGGTTGTCCACCTATGATTAGGTTTTAGTTGATGATGAAAATTAGAAGGTATAAAAATGTATAGAAAGCCACAATCTTGATTTGATTAGGCCGGAAGACAAACATCTACTCAGATCATATAAGAACATGAGTGATGAGAAAGCTTATATTCTTAAAATAATGATAGAGGCAAGAAGTAGAACCGTAGATGATTTTTCCTATATTGTCGATGAAGTTGGAGGTACCAAGAATATTGGATTATCTAAGAGTGATGCTTACAACTACATTCAAAAAGAAAAAAGAACAAATATTGAATATATGGTCAATAATTTTTGAATTCAATTATTTCAAGATCAACAAGTTGATGACCCTATGTTTGCATGGGACGTCTAAATTGATGGATTGGATAGATTGTTGAATTTTTTTGTTTGATAGTATAAGCAGGATATATTATGACTACTTTGGAGATATGACCATTTTTTATACTTGTTATATGCTTAATAAATATAATTTAGTCTGTGCGCCATTTATCAGGGTTAATAATCATTGATAGAACATTCCACTTGGTGTGGCTTTCTTGTCAGAGGAAACAATTGAATCATTTACTTGATTGTTTAGAATATTTGTATGAATAATGAGTGATAAATATCTAATAACAATATTTATTAATCAAGATCAAGATATATGACTAGGGCTATATAAGTTGCATTACCTAGCATATGTCACAAATTATATCAATGGCACATCTCCAAGATGGCTCCATCAAATGTTTGGTGCTTCAATAGTAATGATAAAGATAGAAGATTCTTTTATAAATGTCTAAGCAAATGTGACTATGAGGAGGAGTTTAAGAAAATATGGGCTGAAATGATCATAGAAGGGAGCCTTTGTAGTAATGGTTGGTTGGAGAAGCTTTATAAGATAAGAAATAAATGATCAACAACATTTAATAAGGACTATTTTAGCAAAGACATTCTATCCACACAACGTAGCAAGGCTATTAATAATGTGTGTAATGTCATTTCGAAGCCAACAAGGAAAGACAATAAGTGCTAGAAAGCTGCTTTAAGAAGCACTAAAAAAAACCGTCCCAAACGAAGCCCAAGACATTTTGCAATTGCAATAGTTTTAAAAATTAAATTATATCAAAAGTAACTTACAACATGACTTAATGAAAAACCTTCAATTATGCTTTTGCATCCTTCATTCATATCTTTTTATATCTATGCAATCTCTAAATCATTAACTTTGATTTAATCAATTTTACCATATGATAATCACATCTTATCAATCATATAGTTACTTAATTTAGATATCAGTGTCTCAAATAACATTCTCGTTATTATACTATGGGCTCACGAGATCAATAGTAACTTCTTAGATCTTTATCAACCAAGTTAATTATCATCCAATAAAAATGATAAATTTATTAATTAGAAATTAAATATTAGCGTCACTTATTTTAAATGGATAATTGGAAAAAGCATAAGGCATAGATTTCTTTTGGTACGGCTTTCTTCCTGCTTCTTAAATCACATTTTTAGTGCAACAAATAATTTTTTTATATTAAAAAATTGTTTCAAGAAACAATAAGAAAGCAATCACAAACGAAATCTTAGCTGTTGGTCTTGGCCCCTATATGCAGTGCCAATGCTAATATAATTGACCAAACAACCCCTAAAATTTTTGTTTGAAAAAAAATTGAGAAGTCATAAGAAATAATAAAATTTAAAATAAAAAAAGGAAATATTATAAAAGTAATTTATTTTTGTTTTTCAAAAAGTATGAGAATTAATTTGGATAATTAAAGTTTAATAGTATCTAAATTATATATATTTTAATTAAAACACTTAATATTTTATCATTCTTCAACTATATTATATTATTATGTCAGATTAATCGTAAGATTTTCTTTATTTAATTCTTAATTAAGAAAGGGAAGTCTTTTTCTTTCAGGAATAATAAATTTAACTTGCCCGACTAAAGTCTCGTCAGCATCGGCTCCTGTCCTCGATAAATAACAGGAAGGCGATTCCGAGCAGTTGACCCTATATATACCAGAAAGTGGAGGGCAGGAGGGGAGATCGTGTGAGGGGCGTGGTGTCGGGTGCATTCGTCGATCTGTCAGGGTCTCCGGCTGGCTGCGACGCCGTCCTTTCTCTGGAGAAACAAGGCAACGCAAGGATCAAGTGAGTCTCCTTCTCTTTTTGGTGAAGTGGCGCAAGTGAACCACTTCATCATGGTGATCTGATAGATGCTTTCATTTTGGGAAATGTTATATTTTTTCATGTGTAATTTAAGAAAACTTAGAGAAAGTAGTAGGGATTTGATCAATTGTCTCTCAAATGAAGATGAATTCGGTACAATGTGCACAGTAAATCCTGGAGGCGTCAAGTCTTGAAATTTTTTGGCTTGATATATGTTATAAATGTGGCTAAATCCTAATAAACTGTTTGACTTAAAATTTTGAGATTTAAGATTTAGATTAAGGAGAAAAGAGGTATAATGAGGAGAAGTGGGGTAAATCTCTTAAATTTTACTTCCCACTAGATTTACAAAATCCGGGATTTAGCCTAAAATGAGATTTAAGAAGATAGCAGGACTTATGTTGTTAAAAAAAAAAAAAGAGGCAAGATTTAGCTTAAGTCATGGCTAAATCTTACAACCAAAAATCCCTTAGATTGATTCTAGTAAGTCGGATGACCAGAGATTTTCCCAAATTCAGATTCAAATTTCAGATGAACAGAGATTTTGGCACTATTTTTGCTACACTCTGATATGTTAATATTTGTTGATGCGTTGTATCGCTGATATACTCTAATATGTGTATTTCTCATTTTTTGAATTGAGATAATGTACGCACTAATTATTTGATACTAGAATCGAATTTAAAGTAATCATATGTTTGTTATCTACTTACTGCGAAACTTATCTATAAAGGTATGCATATGTGCGTTTGTTTTTCTCCAAATTACTATTTTATGATTAAGCTATCTACTGCGTTGGAAAAACTCACCCCTTTATATGATGTTTTTCTGTTTTCAGATAGAATATCTCATAATTGTACATTAATAAGGTTCTTAGGATTCCCCTTGGTGGTGATAAGCAAAAGGAAATCATGTATGGGTATGTGATTTATATATTTGATTGTAAATTTCTCTTGATTAAATAATTAGATTTTTATATTGTTCTTGATGGATAAATTGCATGAATGACAAGACTTAGTCACTTTAATGATATTATTTTTGGTTGATAATATGTATTTTATGACTGATAGGTTTTATGGACAAATCTGTAAATGGTAAAAGTCATCCCATATGGATTTTATGTTGCCAAAGTTTTTTGGCCTTATTTGGTTGGTCTCAGAACTCCCCATAGTGATGTAATCCCTTAGAACTTCAAGCTTGAATCTACATTGGCAATGTTGGTCGTGGCATCATTGATATTTTCTTTTCTATTGGTGGCGGTAACGCCTATTATCGGTGGTATTGAGGTGAAGGTACAAAAGTCACCATGGAGGATCCAAACGTTGTTCTCGGTGGAGTGCCAAAACTATTTTGATTGGCAAACGGTGGGCTTAGTCCATAGTTACCACAAAGTGCAACAGCCTGGGCCAATCACTAGACTTCTTAGCTGTACAGAGGAGGAGCGTCGACGTTACAAAGGGATGGGGCTTGCCCCAACCTTCGAGGTCCCATCCATGAGCCGCCACCCAAAAACTGGAGATTGGTATAAGTGCTAAAACTCATTTTTCATCAGTTTGTATTATTTTTTATTGTATGTTTGCAGGATCAGATCTAGGGTGATGCCATCACAAACACCAGAGTCCTGGATCCACCACCATATGCTTTCATCTTCCATTTTAAATTTTTATTCATTTTATTTATGATTCATGAGAAATTTTGGAAGGCTTTTGTTTGTTTCATATTGAGGTGAAGGAGCTAGTTTTTGGGCATCAAAGAAAATCTTAATCTGCATGTCTTTAAAAAAGCTATGATTAGGCCGATTTTGGTACTCTTTTCAGTTTTGGGTTCATATGGATAACTTGCTTCTGAGTTTCTTTTTTCAGTCTTTTTATGGGATTTACAGTGGCATGCATGGCACATTATATTTTGATTATTTTCCAAGATGCGATTTTTGATAAAATATTTGTGCTATTTGAAAAAATATATATTAGACTGTTTCCTGGTTCTCATCTATTTGCTATGCAGGTTATGCATAAATCAAACAAGTTAAATGGGCTGAATCATAAATTTTATGTCCATAAAAGTTACTTTAAAGTTATTCAAATATAGATAAAAGGCCACTGCTCTTTCTTAATGCTTCAGTTTGAATAAAACACTAGAATTGTTTGTTTGGACGCAGCATAAATTGAGATTAGCTTACATGGTAGTGCCCAAATTTAACATTTCCTTCTCGCTCATGCAGTACATCAGCAGCCCTTCGATGCAATTTTGTTTTCAAGAAATGAGCATAATGAGGATGACAATGACCCATTGTTTTAATGTCATAAGACTATTAGGAACCTTTTGTAGGTCTTCTTTTGTAGTTTGTTCTGCATTAAAGAAGGCTATCCATCATCTCAGAAGCTATGTTGATATTGATTCAAATTGAGTGTGACTTTGGTGCTTATAATCATTGGAGTTGTTCATTTTTTGACTTTTGTTGAAACTTATGCATAAATTTGAATGTAGATGTCTCATCAATTGTGAAAGTATTTTGAATAGCAATTGACTGGAGTTTTGGCATTTTGAAGTCTTCTGCTATTAATCCAGCACCATTGCTGGGCCTTAAGGAGGGAATGGGGTTGTGGGTGGTTCATCTTACCTAGAAAAACCTGTCATTGTTCTTTATCATCCAAGTACTGAAAGATGACAAAAATGTCAATAACGAAGGTCAAAATAATTAAGGACCTGATGGGAAGCTTCAATTCTAGAGTAGCCCTGATATGAAATTTAAAGTTGTTTTAAAATCCAGATAGGTACTGGGGCAAAAAGGAGCTGGACAATAACTTATTGTCAGCCTAGAGCTCAATATGTGAATATTCAATTTTAAAATTGACATCTTAAAGCATGAGCGTAGTATTTAAAATTTTAAGTTGGGTTCTTAGCAAACACAAGCAGTATATCAGAAGAAGGGGTACAATTCTATAATTTAGTGGGGCCAAATGAATTCCTTTCTAGAAACGACAATGTATTTTGTAGAATTTCTGAACTTGAGTTGGGGTCCCACCCTCGTGTCAATGTTGCCCACCACTTCATGAATCTTATGCAACTGGACTGAAGTTTACTGGGAAACACTTTGAGATAGTTACATATGCGCATTTTTATGATGGGTTATACTTTTGTTGATGATGTTATGAACTAAGATGTTATTAATTAACTGTATAAATTCTTAACATATTGATCACCATTCGCTTTGGCTATTTCTGGCCAGGTACCCTGCTATTAATAAACCAGCTGGCATTGTACATTGGCTTAAACATAGCAAAGATGCTGAGAATGTTGATTGGGTTGTAATCTTGGATGCAGATATGATTATCCGAGGTCCCATCATTCCTTGGGAACTTGGGGCAGAGAAGGGAAAGGCTGTTGCTGCGTATTATGGGTATGAATATGCAGTTCAACACCAAAATTCTTTATCTCAGATGCATTTTTATCCTTTTGAGTATTGCAAGATTGTTTCTGAGGTCACCTTTGTACAATTTTGCTAAAAGATGTTATGAAATGAGATGTAATCGGCTTGCATTCTGGGAGAAGATTCTGCTAAGGATAATGATCCATTGTACATTTAATGAGGGATTATTATCGTACATTCTGATTCAGTCCAAAGAAAGTGCCAATTTTTATTCTGTGATTTAGTTATGAAAGAATATGGTAGCTGGTGCTTTTGAATATAGCTTTGCTGCTTATTTTTATGTAAACAACTTGGTAACGTGCAGTTTTATCTATCCCAGGCTTTGTTTGTTTGTGCTGCTGCTTTTGGAAAAGTTTTTGATTGCACGGAATTATTGTATGTCAAACAGTTGCTTTTGAAAGAAGTTTTTTAGGTCTTTGTTTTCTATAAGAATGCAAAAAATAAATATACGAAGTTACGAACACATCTTAAAATTACTGCACCTGTTTTTTTTTTTTTTTCTAGGCACAGCAGGTAAAAAGCAAGAATAAACAAAATCATGGTGGTGCTTTCTTCCATTTCACCTTCTAATAATTTTCCCTGCACTATGGTTAAGCAGTCCCACCGCAAACTGTTGCACATCCTTTTTTCTTGATACAATTCATATTCGGATGATATTTGATAGTTGTATGTGTCATATGCATGATGTATCTGAAGAAGGAACATCAGCTTATAACTTTTTGGTGCAAGGATTACAAAGCACTTTGACTATTAGAAGATATGCTTAGAAATAAATCAATATAGTACATACTTTCACGGGCAAGAGACGTGCTTTCTGAACAGTTTATCACAGTTAAGTTGATTAAAATTGTTGGTTCTATCGCTATTAATTAGAAAGTAAAGAGAAGATGAATTAGAATTCCCTGCATAATATGAATGGCAGAAGTAATCTGGGCTTTGCTGAATTTGTTTGTGGTAATCAGCATGAGAATTAAAATGCATGAAAAAATTACTTGTAAATATTGAACCAAGTGAAACATTGTATGCTTGTTTCTAAATTAATCATGTTAACTTACATCACCTTTGAAACATTGTAACTGTTTGTTTTCTTTTGTTTAACCCATAATTTAGCTATGATATCGTCAATTACCCATCATGTTTATTTTCATCTCGATGGTTTATTAAGGTACTTAATTGGATGCGATAACATTCTAGCACAGTTGCATACAAAGCACCCAGAATTATGTGATAAGGTTGGTGGGCTTTTGGCTATGCATATCGATGACTTGAGGGTCTTGGCACCTATGTGGCTTTCAAAGACAGAGGAAGTTAGAGAGGATAGGGCTCATTGGGGAACTAACATAACTGGTGACATTTATGCTCAAGGTTGGATTAGTGAGATGTACGGTTATTCATTTGGTGCTGCTGAGGTTAGGATTTTTGGCTTTTATCAATCTATCTTGCTCTAATTCTTTCTATTAGTTATGAAAACTGAAACTCTTTAGGAAAATTTCCCTTTTTAGTATCTTATAATTTTTGTCAACAGGTAGGCCTTCACCACAGGATAAGTGAAGATTTGATGATCTACCCAGGATATGTTCCAAGATCTGGTGTTGAGCCTATCCTCTTGCACTACGGCTTACCTTTTAAAGTTGGGAACTGGTCTTTCAGCAAGTTGGAGCATCATGAGGATGGTATTGTCTATGATTGCAACCGTCTTTTTCCACCTCCTCCATATCCCAAAGAGGTAGTAAGCAAATATGTGTTTGTATATTGACGTTTTGAGGGATAGAGTTTGGTTCTTGTTAGTTATTTTATCTCCTTTGGAGGAAGCTTACCTTAAACTAAGTTGTTGCTGCCATGCAGGTTCAGATGATAGAATCTAACCCGCATGAGAGACAAGGTTTATTCCTAAGTATAGAATGCATTAACACTCTAAATGAAGGACTCCTAGCACATCATGCATCTATGGGCTGTCCTAGACCACAATGGTCCAAGTATTTAAGTTTTCTAAAAAGCAAGAGATTTTCAGAACTCACTAAAACAAAATATTTAAATTATCAAGAAATGAGAAATTCGACTATGGAGCAAAGAAAAGCTTCTGATGAATCGAGAAGGTCACATCCAAAAATACATACTCTTTTTTCAACTGAGTGTTCGCCATATTTTGATTGGCAAACAGTTGGTCTTATCCATAGCTTCCATTTGAGTGGCCAACCTGGAAATATTACTCGGCTTTTAAGTTGCACAGATGAGGACTTAAAGAATTATAAAGGGCATGATCTGGCACCTACTCATTACGTTCCATCTATGAGTCAACATCCACTAACTGGAGATTGGTAAAGTTGACTTTGGTCTCTTACTACTTATTTCAACTTATTGCTAACTAGTTCTTTTAGTGTTATCCCTTCCAAATCACTTTATGTTGAACCTTTTGTATATTCTGAGAATTGCTAAATAAATATTCGTCTTGTTTGGTGGCACTTTATGAAATCCTTACATTCACGACTTCATGTTTCAACATTTGAGGTCAATGAAAATTGATGCAAAGTAAAACTGCTCTATAAAGTTTTCTTGCTTTACACGGTCCACTGCTTTGCGTTGCAGTTTTTTATATGTTTATATGGGTATTTAGTTATCTTTGTGTAATAACTACAATAAATACTCTCTTTTTATTTTATTTTATAGAGCACTCTGCATTATGCAAATCACCAGAAAAGGAGGATTTGTATAATTGGGCAGTATACATATACATGCTACGGCATTATCTTCTGAGTCAAACCACTCACATTCCTTCTAGTGATAAAGTTCCCGCACTTTTATTTTGTTTTCTTTTTCGTTATTCTTTAAGTTTTCAACTGGATTCTAATTTGTGTGCTAAAATAAGGATGTTCATATTGTTCTGGCATCAATTTATTTCACTCTCAGATAACCATTTGCATCATCAAATATCTTGTTGTGTCTATTCATTTTCAGCCCTCTACTGCTACTTTTATTTGTTTTCCTTTTCCGTTATTCTTTAAGTTTTCAATTCTTAAATGTTAGAAGTAGGACGCTTGATTATTACTCTTACACCAAGGTTACTGTGCTAAAGACCAATTAGAGATGCTAGAATTTTTTCTATTATTTGTTACATCTTCAGCTTGATCTAATTTCAAAATTATGCCACTCGCCTATGCACAAGGCTACTTGTGACTAAGCACCACCCTTGCATGAATGACCTCTTTTCAAGAGACACTTGACAGGACCAACCTTGTGTAGGGTCACTCTGATAGGAAACACTATTAGAACTCCAAGTGGAACTTATCAATGATGGAATTTCAGCAATATCTCACCACAATTCTTCACCAAATCCAGAAAATAATAGAAATAATAATGTAGTAGTTGATGAAATCGGAAGGAAAATATCAAGATACAATTGGTCCTCAATTCGAGAGGAGGATCTATCTATCCCAACTCTCTAGACGCCGTTAGAGCCCAAGAACTCCAAGTACGAACATAATTCAACAAATACAAAGATAACCCTAACCCTAATTCCCTCATTCTACTTAAAGCAAACAAAATAATAAAGTAAATTACTAAACAACCCATGTAAACCTAAATCCAGCCCTAGCTCCCCCCTCCTTCCTCACCAAAATCAAATAGTGGGCCTCCCAAAAGGGGCGAGCTGTAGCATAAACGAACCCTTGGTTTGCCTGGAGTACACACGAGATGGCCCTTTGCTTAGGGCCAACTGAACTGGTCCAACATGGACCTGTCTAACAATATCCCCTCCCAAAGAATAACCTTATCCTCAATGTAAAAGGATGAAAATTGATGCTTCACTCTCTCATATGACTCCTAGGTGGCTTCGTGGTATGGTAGGCTCCTTTATTTAATTAGAACCTCCTTAGTCCCCTCTTCTCCTTGTTGAGCCCCCCCTCAACTCCAGTAGTTCTAATACCACCTTCAAGTTTTTTGTCAGTGTCACCAATAGCTCTAAACTCACTGCATGATCCTCAATCGCTCTCCTCAGTTGTGACACACGGAACACTGGATGTATAGTCGCCGTCGAGGGTAATCTCAAACGATATGCTACTGCTCCAATTCTCTTCAATACCTCATATGGTCAAAGTACCTTAGGGTAAGCTTCCCATTCCTCTTGTTGGCGAACGTCCTATGTTTGTATGGTCATAGCTTTAAAAACACGCTCTCCCCTACGTCCAACTGGATGTCCTTCTTGTGTCCGTCTGTGTCGCGGCGCGTCTGATTTTGTCCGATTTGACAATGTGCTTATGATTTGTACGGATTTGTACTATTCTGTCTGTTTTGTAAATATTTGAATATTCTGCTATATGGATGAATTCAGTTCTTCTATTTCAGTGGTTTGATTTTCTGTACGACTATCTGACTTCTGTACGACTACTTTTCTGATGTATTTGTTGATGTGAAATTCTGAATATTTTGATTGGCTAGTGTAGTCTTGCTGAGTTGTTAGCTCATCCTTGTTATCTGCGTGATTTTCAGGTTCTGGGAAAGGGAATGAAGTCTTGGATTAGCCGTTCAGTGTCTGATCTGTAATTAGGTATTTTGTACTTTTGATTTTTTTACAGTCATGGCTTTTCTGTTATGTTCTTTCTGTCTGTAGCCATGCACTGTATTGTACATTATTATTTTGAGGAAAGAAAGAAGAAAATCATTGATGAACTTTTCTGTATATTTGGATGTTTATAGTAGCTCTGTGTTTTCTGTATGTTTGATTATTGGAAGAAAGTCCGAAAGCAAATTCCAGAACTAGATCCTGGATTTTTAATAGTCTGCTTATTTCTTCATAATATGTTGTGCCATTAATAGGTGCCTTTTCAGTTCCTCCAACACCATATCTCTTTCCTCCATGTATTGATCTACTGAAGAGACTGGTGTGCTACTCCGCCCAAAATGCGTCAAGCGAAGTGAGTCTCATCCGTACAACACTTTGAATGGGGTTATCTGACAAGTAGAATGATATGAAGTGTTGTACCAGTACTCTACCTATGCTAGCCATTTATCCCAAAGTCGATGTGTCTCCGAAACAAAGCATCATATGTATGTCTCCAAGCTCCTGTTTATCATCTCCGTCTGCCCGTCATTAAGGGTGATAAGCGGTACTCCTCTTCAGTACGGTCCCCTGCAACCTAAACAACTCCCTCCATAGTGGCTGAGGAACACTTTATCCCTGTCAGACACTATAGATTCCGGTATCCCATGCAGTTTGACCACCTCCAACTGTCAATGTTGTGTAGGGGTATCTTAGGGGAATGACATGAACATACTTACTCAAGTTGTCCACTACCACCAGAATCATTGTATACCCTTTAGATCGGGGTAACCCATCTAAAAAATTCATGGAGACCTCCCACATGTGAAATGGTAGAGCTAGGGGTTGAAGTAATCCTTCTAGGGCCATGGCCATATACTTTTTCCTCTGACATACCGCACAATGAGTTACCATCTCCTCCATATCCTTGTGCATCCTTTTCCAATACAACTCTGTTGCAAGTTTGTTGTATGTCTTCTACACCCCAAAGTGTCCCCCAACAACGCTCTCATGAAACTCTTACAATACGTGTGGTGTGATGTCCCAGAATTTAAATTGGAAGACTTATTCATTTATTTTTTAATAAATAACAAGCAGAGTTATTTAATATCATCTATAAATAATAAATATCAAAACATATTCTATAATTTTAAATATCAATGTACACATCTATATTAATTCCTAAAAATCATATACAATATTCAGGATCTATATAATCATATCATAACTACTATGTCTTAAGTACAAAAGAAAAATAAAAAGAAACAAAACCTGAAGAACCTGACCAGCCTCACACTCCTGCTCTCCACCCTGACTTGAAATCATTTAATCACATATAATGAGCTTGAAAAGCCGAATAGGTCACCAAAACATACAACTGAAATTAAAGCACAATAAATGAGCAATATATATGTTAAAGATCAAATCATAGTAGTAGCAATCATATGATTATTGAATCAGTACAGAAATAATAAAATTTACATGCATTAGTAGTAGAATCTATAAACAGTAAAACATTATAGTATAGAAGTCAGTAAACTAGTACGAGTGTCAAATCTATAAAACATTCGTTATATCTGTAATATATATCAGTACAAAAATTGTATAAATCATCAAATCAAAATATCAATAAAGACAGTTGAAATCAAATCAATGTGGTAAAATCATATAAAAATGTACACATGTTATCTAAGCCTCCTATATCACTTGCTTAGTGTATCACATGCTTAGTATAAGTATATTGAATCAATATTAACAAATAGTATCTATATCCATATCGATAATAATAACAATCTAATGGTAGAAATAGTAGAATAATGCAATGACAGTAAATCCGCACAGTAACAATAATACATATAATAATAAGAAAAATACCTCAAGAACATACATTTAAGTAGTCACACTAAACAAGTAATAAGTCATAACTATCACAGTATTTTTTAGTGTTAGTATCAGTATTAGTAAACAGAGTCGTCACTCTTTGCCCGTCGGCACAATAATAATCTTCTTATTATTATCAATCAGTGTATCATGTGAATTAGTAGAGGATAACACAAACTACATTATTTAAAAGAAAGCTTGTCAGCCCACCATCCTGTATAGGTCAATTAGTCTGTAAGCAATGGGTCAATCAGTTTACTTGTCTTTTACACACATTATTATTATCACAATTGATGTGATACATAATGCATGGAAACAAGAATTACAGTTAAGATATTAATAGAAGTGATGAACTTTACTTTGCTACCAAATAACTCTTTGTTTGCTCAAGTTAAAGTTTAAGAATATGGCGTTGAAAGATTAAGCAATAGCAATAGATTACACGTTGAGATTACTAGAACTTGCAAAATAATAATCAAATATTTAGGTAATGCAAATAGCCAATTATAACAAAGCCTCAAATTTAGAATACGATTTGAGATTTAGAGTTATATTGAATCCAGAAAAAAATTATGTACCTGGATCAAAATACGGGTTATTACATGTGGAATATGAACTGATGTGCGAGGCATCACAAATCTCCCTTTGTACAATAATCTATCTCCCTCTAGAGAATAGATAGGGTAGTTATTCTTATTCTTCAACAAATTTTCCCTATTCCTCCCCAATTCCTCATCTTGCGCACTCTCCTCCTTAATGGCCCTCCAATCTAGCATTAAGGGTATCGATATGGCCAACTCGTGGAGCGCCCCCATACATTTGGACAATGCATCTTACGCTTTGTTCTCTATCCCGGTCTAATACTGGATTTCAAAGTCATATCCCAATAACTTTGACAACCAT